CCGTGAGCATGTTAAGCATCACAACTCTCTGCCCGCCGTCGACCTCATCAGAACATGGAGAACCGTGCGAAAAACATCTTTGGGATCGTTACGGCATCATCATCAACAGTAGCAGCAGCATCGTCATTGTCCGCAAACCAGCAGCAAGAACTGCAGCGTCAGCACGTTGGAACTGGTCATCAGCCATGACAAGCACGGTCATATTCTTCTGTCGCCGCAACAGAAACGTCATCACCACCATAACGATAACCAGAATAGCAACAAAATCAACAAACGACCAAGCAAAAACTGCCTCCATTCTCGCCCTGGCCCCATCCTGCCCATCCACAAGCTCATGCAGACCCTCTCTTATTCGTCCGTCCTCATCCTCCTCCTCCTCCTCCCTCCTCCCGCTCTTCCTGTTGGTCCTCCTCAACATCATCTTCGCCACCGCCATCGCGACAGCAATGACCAGGCCTTCGAGTATCGGTACCGGAGTACTAAAAAAGGTGAGGCAGTACAGCACTGTCGCAAGGTGTGGGGGGGGGTCAGAGTGTCCTCACATTCCTCCTTCTCTCCGTCCTCTCTTTTTCACTCTTCTCCTCTTCCTCGCTCTATCTCTATCTATCTATTTATCTATCTCCGTCTCTCCCTCTCTCTCTCACTCTGTCTCTCCCTCTTTCTCTTCCCATCCATCCATCCATCCACCCTATCGATAGCTGCCGAATTATATTAGGGACCCGAAAACAGGGCCCAGTAATTTGACAACCCCCCACGTAGAAAGCCAGGTCGTGAGCCTCAGACCTTCCATCCTGTCCAACCAAACCTTGCTCAAAGTGCCCCCAACAAGCACAGAAGCAAAAATTAGGACAGGGATATCACATATGAACCCCCTTATAATGAAGCCAAATAAGGTAGGGATATCCCTCTAACATGCTTATGCTTATGTGCCTGTTGGGTCCCCAAGCTCAGTTCCTGGCATCGTACAAGCACATGGTGGGGATCGCGGCCGCCGTTCCCAGTCCTGTCAGGGCGCACCGGGCTAGTTCTCTAAGTTGAGGTCCCTTTGTAGGTCTAGGGTCCTCTTTTATATGGGAGTTTCCCAAAATAAAGGACCCTGATATGGTACCCTAAATAGTAGGATCCTTATTAAAAGGACCCCAAAATATGGTACCCCTATTGTCGGAAACTCCCATATGGGTGGTTGTCAAGATTAAGGTCACCTTTTGGGCACCCTAAATAATAGGTGCCGTATTGTAATAAGGACCCAAAAAGGGACCCTAATTTTGACAACCACCCATATGGGTGCCGTACTATTCGGGGAACTGCTATCCAAAGTCAAACCGAGGCTCCGACCACAAGGAAACTGGAAGTCTAATTCTTCGCGGCCCTCCCTTCCAATAGAAGTGAACCTGAGGTGTAATTTAGAAGGGGCCCCCACCCTGTAATAGTGGTATAATAGGAATATAATAGGGCCCCAATTTCATCCTTATAGTCACTGTTACAGGGTGGGGGCAGCTTCTAAGGTGTAATTCTCAAAGTTTAGATTCCTGAGCCTTCTCTGACTTGGTGCTTTGTTATAACTCTGCTTTCTGGGTATACAGTAAATGGGGATTTCTTGCCAGCTCTATGTATCAGGCACGAGCCTCCATGTGGCAACCAACATGAGCAAGTCAAACCAAACCCTTTCAACACCAGACAGCAGAGTCAGTGCCTAAGACCCTGGGTCTAGGATGTAGGGTTCAAGACATTTTGAGGGCTTCAGGTTGGGCTGTTGGGCTTAGCGCCGCTAACCCAGATCCGAAGCATGCAGGCCAGCTGTCCTAGGCCTAGTCGATAGACCGACGTCAGCAGCTTGTCAACCTGGATGCTCGTCTGAGCTTTTTTCATCGTCCCTGTAAGGGCTTCCCAAAAAGGGTTCCAAAAAGGGTTCCAAAAAGTGCTCATAGGGGTTACTATAAGGGGGTTCTTATGCGGGTTCCTGTAAGGGTTGCTATTCTATCATAGCGGATTCCGATAAGAGCTCCTACAAGTGTTCCTACAACGGCTGCTTCTAGAGTGACGGGTTTCGCGTTTCGGAGATTCGCGCCGGCTTTTTGGGAAGTTCAGCTGAACCCCAAACGCCAATCCCAAGACCCAATAACTCTTAGCCTCCCAAAACTCTGCGCCTCCCTCAAACTCCGTAAACTCCCAAAACCCCTAAAGCCCCCAAACCTTTAAACCCTGAGTCAACCTCTACACTCCGTAAGACCACTACCAAAGCCTCTTAACTCAATGCAAGCTCTACACCCCCAAACTCTCTGAACCCAAAACCCACGCTCTCACAACCCCTGACTCTTTGGAGCGCGTGGCTGCAGGTCCGACGGCTTCCGAAGGGGGTGTGAGGATGTTGGGAAGGGCATCGGTTTGGGATGGGGGGTTTTGGAGCCTCATAAGAACAGTGCAAGTTTGGCAAGATGTTTATCGAAAGTTCGCGAAAACCTTTAATTTCAGGGGTTTAATGCGTTGATGGATAGGTTTAGCTTCGGAGGAGGGGGTCTCAGCTCGCAGGGCTCAGGACCTAGGGTTCAGGGTTAGGGTTTGGGTTTAGGGTTTAGGGATAAGGGTTTAGGGTTTAGGGATAAGGGTTTGGGGTGCAGACTCAAGATACCCATGCTTGGGGTCCATGGTAAAACCACGTACAGATTCTCCCTAGACCACAACCTGCTGCAATCACTGCGATCAACACCCCCCTGAACCCTGAGCCGGAATTTACTGGGTTCTTGTTAAGGAATCTAACTAGGGTTACCATAATAAAGAAACCATATTTTCTACTATAGATCCCTGTTATGGTAACTTAAACTACATCCATTAACAAGAACCCAGCTTATAGACACAAGCCTACAGCCAATTTTATCCAGACCGGTTTTACTCTGGGTTGCGGACGGACTGGCCCGCCATGTTGTACCTTCAGAGCGTGCTCATTTAGGGTTGGTGGCGAGGTGCGAGCCTGAGCGATTGAACCTGAGGGCTAAGCTGAATGCCCAACCCGTTGCTGTCCGCTTACGATGGTGGCCGTGTCGATGATGATGATGATGCTGGTGATGATGCTGTTGGTGATGATGGTGATGATGACGGTGATGATGAAGATGACGATGATAGGGATGATGATGGTGGTGACGATGGTGACCATGGTGATGGTGGTGATGATGGTGACCATGGTGATGGTGGTGATGATGGTGATGATGATGATGATGATGTTGATGATGATGATGATTATGGTGATGATGAGGATGACCACACCTCTGAAAGAGCAGTAGCAGCAGTAGTAGTAGCAGCAGCAGCAGCAGGCAGCAGGCAGCAGGCAGCAGGCAGCAGGCAGCAGGCAGCAGGCAGCAGGCAGCAGGCAGCAGGCAGCAGGCAGCAGGCAGCAGGCAGCAGGCAGCAGGCAGCAGGCAGCAGGCAGCAGGCAGCAGGCAGCAGGCAGCAGGCAGCAGGCAGCACTAGCAGTCGCTCAATCGTTGGGGGGTGGTAGTTGCAGAAGCGTGTCCGTCGAAGCTTTCACTCCGGGAGCCTTACACCGTTTAGGGCGTAAGGGTTTAGGGGTTTAGGGTTTAGCGGTTGAAGGTTTCGTGGCTGGGGCTCTGGGAGCCAGCATCAACTTGCCAATACATTGGGGCCCAGGCACAAAATTGGTCAATGCCGAGCCAGGCTTGAGCCGACAGTGTCTACTGTAGGCACATCCAACATCTGACTGCATGACAGCATTGCTATCGACCAAATGTAGACTGATGCAGACTCAGGTAGCTGTTGCCGGTGCCATTGTAGCATTGGCAAGAAGTCGCGGCACTTGGGAGGAGGATGGAGTCGAAGAGTAGCACAAACAGGAGTAGTAGCACTTGTGTTTTGAACAGGAGATGCGAATGCTAATAATGAGGATGAAGATGGAGACGAGCAGGAAAAAGCAAGGACAATGATGATGCTGCTGGCGAGATACTAAGCAACGATAGTTTTGATAAAGGCCACGCTATCAACAACATCTTTCTCATGACACTGACCAGCCATTGATAAGAAGACAACTGGAAAGAGGGGAGTCAGGGCTACCGGGTTCTCGTTCCGGGTTGTGGCTCGGGTTTGGAGTCGGCTCATAAGGCAAGGGTAATCTTGAGGCTTGGGTTTAAGGCTTAGTGTTCTGGATTTAGGGTTTAGGGTATAGGTTTTAGGGTTTACAGTGTAGGGTTTTGGGTTTTGAAGGCTTGGGGCATGGATCTCTGGTTCTCATTTAGCTTTGCCACTCGGAGCACACCGAGACACTTGTGCCACGCTTTTGTTCCTTGTCTCGAGGGGTTTTGCAAGGCTGGCATGAAAATCGGGCAAGCACTGGATGGAGGCAGACCATGAGTGGTGTAAACTTAAGGGATTGCGGCCTTCAAGCGGAACCCTCATTTGTAACCCAGACCAAGCTATAGCATCTGTTTCCCAATCGGCCGGACCCGTGCTGGACCTCAAGGATCTGGAGTTTTGTCCACCCCCCCCGGGCTCGAAAACTGCTAAAGCGACCGCCTTCGGTCGAAAATTGTCACACAGGCGCCTACCTGCTCCTAGCAACTATGCAAATGGATCTAAAGGGGAACTTCCTGAAGACTTTTCATGTTTGTGGGGGCATGATTCTTGATTAATTTAGAGGCCTTAATAATCAGAATAGGGTTTGGGGGTTCCTTATATAACATCAGGTACAATATACCCCAAAACTTAAACCCTATTCCAATTACTGAGGCCCCTACGGTATTGCGCTTGGCAGTCAGGATTTTAATTACTCTGAATCCGAAGCAGCTGTATTCCTATCGACTGCAGATGAAGACTATCGCAGTCGCGCTCTCAGCGTCTGCAAGAGGTTCCCCTTCGTATGCTGCGAGCGGCACCTCCCTTCGGGAGGCAACCTTACAACAATTCGCATCTTGGGATGAATGACCTTAAAATCCTAGACTCCGAACCCTCCAGCCCCCTGAACCCTGAACCCTAAAGATCTATCGGAGCCAAGTTCATGCGGAGGTCACGGCCAGCTCACTGCGAGACTCGCCGGATGCCTCTCGGAAGAGGGCTGTTTCTTGTGACCGGCAGTTATTGCAGAGCTTAGGGTTTAGAGTTTTAGGGTTCGGGGTTTGTGGTTTAGGGTTTTGGGTTTATTGTTCGGGGCTTGGGGTTCAGGCTTATCGAAGGCACGATTGTATCTATACTGCACGCATTCGACTTGCCCTGTTCATGTAAAGCTCTAGGCGGCACGTAAGCTTTAAACGACGTTACGACGTTCTGGCTTTCGGACCTCTGCGCGTGTCACGGCAAGCGTGCCACGAGAAAAGCTACTACCATGTGAAAGCAGCGCACAAAAGTCGAGCCCATCTTCAGATAGGGCTTGGGGTTTAGGGATGTGACTGACTTCGCCGCGGAGACTGGTTTACCTACCTTCATAGCGGCAGTGGGAGGATTTCAAAAAACAATCGATTTGGGAAAACACGCTCGCCGGGCTTCGGGGCTCAGCGAAAGCCCACTCTCACTACGACCACGCTGGGTTTAGGGTGTGGGGTTCACGGTGCACCGCAACCTTAACTACGCCCTCAGCGTGCAAGCTGCGGGTCTGATCTTCGGAGGCCTCTTTTCCCTGTTCCCCCTAAACCCTAAACCCTAAACCATTCTGCAAACGGAATCCTCCAAGGGCTTTGGGGCTTGAGGCTTGGGGCTTGAGGTTCAGCCGGCGACCAAAACCGAAACTTGCTAAGCTCGCAACCCCGAAACTGCAAAGCCCGGTTGCAAGCAAAAACCTCTGATGCATCTGAAGCTGCACCCGTAAAAATCTCTAAACCCGAAAGCTCTAAATGCTTAGGAAAAAGAAAAGCTCACGACCCACCCATGGCTACAAGCTCTCATCCCTAAACCGAAAAGCTCCAAAACTCAACTCGAAACCCTCAACAACAAACCCGAAACCCTCAGCCGTAAATCCCTATGAAGCGTGAAGCCCAGGCCGCGCCACGTCCGATGCCAATCGTTGCAGGGCCCGGGCAGCCAGTCGCTGCGCAAAGCGCTGGGCAAAGGCTGCAGCGCCTTTTCAGGGGCAGGATTTGAGGGTTTTCCCGTAAACGCCAGGAACACGGGACTGAGTAAGTAAGGTTATAAGTACCTTAATTGGGGTTATAACGGTTATACGTAGTTATAAGTATAGTTACCCTAAATATAACCCTGGTCACTAAGTCCCATGATCCTTTAAGCCATGTTTTTCGGTTTGGGGTTTCGGGACTTTGCCTTGGGGGCTACTGGGTCTTTGGTTGTGGGGTAGGGTTGGCAAGATAAGGACATCCAGGATCCACCCTAAGCCTGGGCCCTAAACCCGAGGCCCTATGCGGCCTGTGGTTTCGTTTACAGCGTGGGGTATCCAACGTAGCATTTGGGGGCAGGCGGTGTAAGACAGGCGCCTCAACGATTCGAACAAGGTTTGGCGGTATACTATCGTAGGCTTACGAACAGGAAACCCCGAGGAGTAATATTGATAATTCAGGCTTCTATATGCAACCTCGAAGCCATTGTAAAGCCTAAACCCATGTAACGGCAACAACGCCCTGTCAATTTGCCGTTATGGCTTTCCAGCACCTTTCTTCTACTGCGAAGGATTTCATACAGGGGCTTGCATAATTCAAACAGTGTTTCGGGGTTTCTGAACATGTATGTATACAGGTAAATCAAGGGATGTTATCATTATGTATTCCTACCCCTTGTATTAAGCCATCGTTGCGGGGCGAGGATTGCAGTGCTTTCTGGGTCAGCGGGGGTTGCTGACAAGCTGGTTCAGACTTGCTGGGGGCTCAAGCTTGGCTGCATATGCTGCCCAATACTAACCTGGACCTGAAACCACACCAAAAAAACAAATGAAAAACAACAGAACACAGGAAAAACATATAAGTCTGAACCCTTACCCCCCCCCCCCCCCCCAAAAAAAAAAAAAGGAAACATAGCAATAAACGAAAGACGGGCACCTGGTGCAAGGGTCGGCAAAAGGGACTGCGCCACGGGAAGCAGCCGTCCCAAATCCTCGGGTTTAGCGGTTACACGGGTTTCGGGCTTGCTTGGAGAATCATGGGACTTAGTAAGTAAGGTTCTAACTACCTTAATTGGGGTTACAAGTATAGTTACCCTAATTATAACCCTAGTAACTAAGTCCCATGATCCTTTAAGTAGGCTCGTTAAACGGTGATTTAGGGTTCAGGGCTTTGGGGTTTATGATTTTGGGGTTTAGGGTTTTGGGCCTTAGGCCTCAGGGTTTTGGGGGTTTAGGGTTCCGTTTAGGGTTTAAGGTTCCGGGGGGGTGGGATCTTTAAACCGGGGATTCAAGAAGGGGTTGGGTAGGACTTTTGGAGGTTCTACATGGTGCTTGAGTTGGTTCTATAGGGGCCCTCTATGCAAACGAAGCCTCCTCTCGGCGAGGTCGAGCTGAAAAAACTAGACATATTATGTGCGTATCGAGGGGTACGGTGTGTTGGCGATGCCGGATGAAAATCGTATGTGCGCTGACCATAAATTCACGTTCAAAGTTTCACGGGCACAATGGTTTGGCAGGTCTGGCCACTGTCACATATGGACGCAGAAGTGTCGTAGTCAGAGTACCTAAATTTACATGAAGCAACCGTTCCGTTCTGGCGTTGCTGTTTTTATCTTCGAAGCCTCGCCGCTGTGAGACTGTGTGGTCGAGAGTCCCTTGCTCACTGTTGACATGTTCTCAGCTGTACGTAGGCTTTGACTTGCTTTTTTCCGGGACTGTCGGACGACTAGAACATAACGGGGTGGGCCAACAATCTGACCCTTCAATTCCTTGCACAAAGGAAGGCTCTGCAAAACGCACCGGCAACCCTCGAGACCAAACCGTGGGAGCAACATCCAACTGGAGCAACGACCTCTAAACCCCGGAATCCCAAGAGTCCCAAGCCCAAAACTCCTAGGTCGCTTTCAAAGTCTTTCTTGAACAACTACCAAAAATGTGCAGTCTCAGCTTTGCCTTTTGGTGCCCTTCTCTTGTTGTCCACGACTTTCTTTTGCTGCCTGTGTTTGCCTCTCTTTATTTGAAGAAATCCTTCCCCACCCCCCTCAACCCTAAACCCTAAACCCTCAACCCCAAACCCTAAAACCCAAACCTTACTTAAAGGATGACGGGACTTAGCAACTATGGCTATGATTCGGGTAACTATACTTATAACCCCAGTTCAGGTACTTATAACCTTACTTACTAAGTCCCATGATCCTCCAAGTAAGCCATAAACCCCCAGCGCGCCGTGGCCTGCAGGGTTCGCGGCAGGTCCTCGGGCTGCGCGGCCGCCGGGATCTCGGCCGCCGCCTCGCCAGAGCTTCGTTTTGGGATGTTGAAATCTATACTTGCACACGTGTATGTCCGTGCGTGTATATATATATATATGTATGTATATATGTATGTATGTATGCATGCGCGTAGGAGGTCAGATTTGGGGTTTAGGGTTTGGAGTTGTGGGCTTAAGGTTTAGGGCAAGGGGCTCAGGGCACAGGGTCCTTCAAGGACTTTTATAATGGTGCTACGGTGCATTCTTGTTCAGATTTGAGCATCGCCGCCCCAACGTACCAATTCGGATCCTTAATATTAAATTGTTTGGGGTTTCTAGGAGTTTCGGGCTTAGGGATCGAAGGCTCACTATGCTCGCGGCTTCAGGTCACTTCGGACCGGACCGATTAGATGGAAGCTGCCTTCGGAACGACGTCCGCGTGAAGTTCGAGATCAAGAGTTTAGCATTCTGTGACTCAGGACTGAAATCTCAAATACAGGGGCGTAAATCATTGCCTATACTATCTTGGGGTTCCTTGTTATAATTATAGTATAATGGGCCCCAAAACCCCATTCTAATTCTCAGGGCCCCTACAGTAGGGCCTTGGGCTGTGGAGTCTGGTGAGCCTCAGGTTCGATATGGATGGTTGTCAAAATGTGGTCTCTAAATATTTATGGTGACGTAAAGTAATAAGGAACAAAAAAGGGACCCAAATATTGAGAAACAGCCAGAGGTGGGGTTTTGGGTTTGGGGGTTCTAGACTCTATACTGAACTTAGAACCCTAGCAAAAATTATAGTTTTAGCTGCTTCTTAGGGATTATAATCACCCAAAACTAAAAATTATTTCTAAGTACCCCTTAGTAGAGTTGAACTTAGCAACAAATTTCTGGCCTTTTGCACTCGGCTCAATGCAACGTCCGACGGCCAAAGCGAATCCGTGCTTTTGCTTCTTGAGGACATCCCCTCTTTAGGGTTTAGGGTTGAGGGTTTTGGGGTTTAGGGTTTAGGGGCTTAGGGTTTAGGGTTTAGGGTGAGATCAAGAGAAGGGCAACTCAAGAGCTCCCTTGCCGATCTGGTTGAAAGGTCTGCTTTTTGGATTCTAGCTTCGTCAACTGGAATCTGGCCCTGGGCTTCTCCGGTTCGATCCGAGGAGCTGCTTCACCACACAGGCGGAAGGAAGAAAATCACGAGACGGGCCCGAAGTGCACGGAAGCAGCTATACTGAACTTAGAACCCTAGCAAAAATTATAAGTTTAGCTGTTTCTTCGTGATTATAATAACCAAAAACTAAAAATTCTTTCTAAGTACCCCTACGGCAGCATGGAAGAGTTGGAGGAGAAGCCTGCAACCTCATGCACGAGCTCTACTCTGATATCACCGTCAGCTTTAAGCTGCGAGAGCCAGGCAACAAGGTTTGCGTCGACTTTTGAGTCCATGATTTTGACACAGCTGCCACCAGCTCTTCGAAGGATAGCAGCTGGACGTCCTCCAAGGTGTTTCCGTTCCTCTTTGCATGCACCAGCTCTACTGCTCCACTGGACAGCATCTGGAGAATAAGCTTTGTTGTGAAGCTTTGTCTGTGTGATTTTCTTGGACCTTTTGATCTCAACTGGCATCTGCCTAGAATTCATTGCATCCACCTCGGCAGTTACCAACACCTGCTAACCTCCGATGTCCAACAGCTGCATGGCCTCGTGCCAATGCAGATCGTGGGGACCGGCCAGCGGCTGGCCAGTCATAAGACGCTCAAACTGGAATCCAATTTCGTGCATCTAACCCTTGGACCACAGATCGGGTAGAAACAGGACTGGAAGCATCATCACAACAAAAGCGCGGTAAAACTCGAAATTGCATGGACATTGCAGGCTGGCGCCGCTCACGTTCACCGCACGACGCGCGTGCGGTGAAACGAATGCCTACAACTGGTGCTCCTGCTAATCTTGGCGCTGAAAGCTGCTGCCGGCGCGATTAAAGTAGGCTGCTGCGATCCGAAACGGACACGCAGTGTAACTATGTGTCAAGCAACGGTTGCCTTATGGATGACAACCTAGGTATGATAAACGAAAAACTGCACAGAAGCACGGCGTCGTCATGATTCATGATAGTACTCCGCAGAACACCGTGGCAATCGAAAGGCTATACCATGGTGAAATGGCATCAAAACTTATCCCAAACTCATGTGAACCGTGGCCCCCATTGAAGCCGTGGAAAGCTCAGAAGAAAACCCTAAACCCTAAAACCGTAAACCCTAAATTCCTGGTGAATGTCTTGCCTGGATGATCTGCACAATCTTCCGAATGACCAGGAGAGACTGCTTGTCCTGTTTTTGTCAGTTTAGGATTTAGGGTTTAGGGTTTGGGGTTTAGGGTTTAAGGTTGGTGGAGAGGATGTGGGTGAGGATTTGGGGTGAGCCCAGAGTTGGGTTGGGCCGTTGGACACGGCTCAAGTTATGCTGAGACTACAGGCAACTTCGTGACAAATCCAGAGAGAATGAACGTCGCAGCAGCCTGTCCTCAACCCTAAACCCTAAACCCTCCTTCTACATCCCTTTCGTTTAAAGGAGCCCTATAGTACCCTTACAGGAATCCTTCTAGATCCTGCTTGAAGGAATCCTATAGTATGGGGGCCTTCAAAACTATACTGAACTTAGAACCCTAGCAAAAACTATAACTTTATCTGTTTCTTAAAAATTATTTCTAAGTACCCCTAAAATTAGAGTAGGAAAGCAACACCGCTCCTCCCGGGTCAGTAGCCGCTCTGTGCCAGATCCCAGGATCAGCTGCCTTTAGGGTTTAGGGTTTAGGAGTTTGGGGTTTAGGGTTTATTTTTTTGGGGTTTGGGGTTTAGGGTTTGGGGTTTGGGGTTTAGGGTTTTAGGGTCTTGGGGTTTTGGGTTCAGGGTTTAGGACTTAAAGTTTCTGGCTTGGGGTTATCTAGAAAGGTTCTATACTAGGTGTCGATGTCAACAGCCCACCAAATCGATACCTATAGTAATTATAAGTCAAAAAAAGGGTTCTACAACGAACCCCAACTCCAGGAAGGTGCCATGGTGCATCGGTGCCGCCACGGGGGCTCCCAAGGGGCCGAGGATGCGCAGCACTTGCGACACCTCGGCGGCAATCCGATGGGGTTTGGGGCTTTGGCCTAAACCAGGGTTTACGGTTTAGGGTTGAGGATTGGGATAAGAACTACACTCTAGACGCTGAGGCTGAAAGCTCTGAGCCTGACCAACCCTCCACCCTAAAACCCAGAACCCCTTGAATCCCAAAACCCTGGGCCCTAAAACCCCTAAACCCTAAATCCTAAAACCCTGAAGCACTGAACCCTGAGACCCTAAAGGCCCTAAAGTCCTGAACCCCAAAGCTCGAAGCCTAAGGCTACATGAATAGGGTTTAGGGTTTAGGGTTTAGGGTTTAGGGTTTAGGGTTTAGGGTTTAGGGTTTAGGGTTTAGGGTTTAGGGTTTAGGGTTTAGGGTTTAGGGTTGTGCCGAGGCACAGCCGCCCGTGAGAGGGCATCCACGGCGGCGACGCCCTCGTCGATTAGCAGGTCCTGAAGGAAGTTGCCGTCCTTGCATGGAGAACTATCATCACTGCAAATGCAACAGTGAGGGTGTAGGGCTTTATAACTTAGAGTTTTCGGGACTACTCCTTGTATCACTGTTAGCACTTCTCTCAACACTCAGCTACGACCGACCAGACCTGAATGCCTGCCGGCAGGTACCTTCACGGCCAACTCCAACACAGCAGATCTGCATAAAGAGCTTTAGCCCTTGTCCTAGACACCCAACCCTAAGCCAAAAAAGGAAACCACTAGTACAGGTGAGGGATTCTTTTGCGGATTCGAACAAGCACAAACAGCCGTCCAAATCTCAGAGTCACGTGTCTCTAGGACTTGAGGGTTTAGGGTTGGGGTTCAGGACTTTCGATTGTTTTTTGGCAGGGGTTTCGGGTAAACGGATACTGGCGGTGCGGGAATGTGGCACTTGTTCAGAGCGGCCTCGTCTTCAACTGAAAATTTCCACGGGTCATGATTGTGCTTGGGTTTAGGGATTGGAACTCCGGCGATACGAAATACATTCAGGCTTAAAGGCGGTTGTGTTAGACTCTACGAACAGGTTCAGGGTTCTGTAGCCGCATTACGGTGGCTAGCGGCTAGCGATGCATGCCGCACACAGACCCTACGAGGACGAGTTCATTGGGTCTGGTCGGTATGCAACAACTTTTATCTTCTTTGATCCATATCCACAGAGAGATTTTCCCTCATTCTGGCCACTGACAACCGTAGCCAAGTTCGTAAACTCCGCCGCACTTCGGATGCCAGGTGCTAAGTAGGGCAAGGACTCCAGGGATCCGATCCTTGCATATTCACGAACAGATTTCCTACTCCCCATGCTTCCGTCCAGTGCTTCCATACTTCGCGCCAGGTAAGGCCCTGAACTCTAAACCCTAAACTTCGTATATGCACATCCACAACCCAAGAAATCTCCAAGTTCCAAGTCCTAACCACAACGCACCATAACACCGGCGCAATGCGTGTACCACGCTCAACCCCATGACCCTTTAAACGACTGTAGACGACCTATACAGGATCTGCATCTTAGGGCTTAAAAGCTTACGTTCTACCCAGGCGCCGGGGAGAAAACGACGGCAGCGATATCTTTCCTCAAAGGCAAGGCTACCAAAACCCAAATGTAGGATGATCTAAAGGGTTTTAGAAAGGGCTCTCCAAAACAAAAGGACCTACAGTTTGCCCTAAACCCAGGAGCTGGAGGGTTCAGGGCTTTAGGCTGTAGACTCTGTAGAGCTCCGAGGCTTAGACCATTCAGGGTTCAGGGTTGTAGGACTCTGACGTTGCAGCGACTTCAAGAGTTAACGGATCTGAGGGTTTGATTCGGTAAGGTTTCGAGTTACCTGGTTTAGGGTTTAGGGGTTTAGGGTTTAGGGTTTAGGGGTTTCGGAGCTTGGAGCTTTTTTGATACCACCTTCGACCCAAAACCTAGAGGGCCTCCAAGACCTTCTAGCTCTTATCCTGACACTGACAGCCCGAAACCGACGACCCTCACACCCCGAAGTTTTGGGAAAGCCTGGGAGATTACCTGGGAAGCTCGAAGTGGGGCTCTGGAGGGTAGGGATGCAAGGAGGGGTTGGGAGTTTCGGGGTTGGGGGTTTAGGGGTTTAGGGGTTTAGGGGTTTAGGGGTTTAGGGGTTTGGGGGTTTGGGGGTTTGGGGGTTTAGGTTTAGGAGATTAGGGTTTAGGTGTTAAGGGGAGATTAAGGCTACAAGGGGCTTAGATCTTCATGTTCAGGACAACCTTACACCTGAGCCCATGCCCAAATCCTTCAATCTTAACCCTAAACCCTGAACCCGAAACCCATACCAAGAAGGACCTAAATCCTAAACATAAACCCTGATACGGCCCATCTTCAAGTTTAGAAGCATCGGGGCTTTTACCGGTTCGGGCTACACTGTAAACTGGGGGCCTCAAGGTGGCCAGGACATGGAGCTTTGTCAGGCCTGATGACATTAATATTGGAAACTAAGGGGGGTAAAACTAATGTTAGAAACTATAAGGGGGTAGTACTATGCTGTGACATTGATGTTTGAAACTAGAAGGGGGTTCTATACTATGATATTAATGACAACAACTATAAGGGTGGTAATGCTATAGTATGACATTGATGCTAGGAGCTTCAAGGGGATAGTGTTTCTGTTCATTCCGACGCTTCAGTAGGATTAAAGGATTGGGGTTGAGGGCTTGCATGATAAGGGTCCATAGTAAATCATACGGATTCCTGGCTATGGCAACTAAAACTACTAAATTTCCTGACAAAAGCCCTGTGTAAGCTAGTGCAGGCGATGATCTCTCAAGCTTCTGGCAATTGAGCATTGAGCGTCCTGGGTGCAACTGCTCCTCACTTCTCCGAAAGACCCTCATACCCCTAATTTCAGTCACACCGCCCCAATACTGCTAGTTTCAGCAACATAACGCAAGACCTCTAATGTCAGTTGTATGACCCAATAGTACACCTAAATTCAGCAAGATACCGTAAACTAATCGGGGCTCTTAGCTGTGATTTCAGGTATATTCCACAATGTGGGGGTCTTGGGCTCCTAACTTCTCGCCCTTCAACTGCACGCCCAGATGCGTAGCGGCATCCAGGGACACATCCTCATTCTGGGCATCCACGAAGTCCTAGCTGTTCTTTGCAGCAAGGCTGGCCGGACCAGGAATCGAATGTTTAAGGTTTAGCAGGGGGCAGCTTCGATCAAATAAAATAAAAAACTAAAATATGCTAGAATATTATCTAAGGTAAACCGAGATGAGATAAGATAAGATACGACAATATGTGGCAAAGGAGACGCAGAAGAAGTGAGCAGGCAGGCAAGCAAGCAAGAAAGTATTGCTGACCAGATTCTCGTAACAGACTAGCTCAGACTCTAAAACCCTAAGACACCTGACGCAATAGAAATTTAACAACATGGGCAGGTTGGTCGCTGCTGGAATCGACAGGCAACGCCCCTTGCGTTTTATGGCTTGGAACAGGGACCTTGATTGCTAGATAGGAGCTTTGGGGTAACTAGGATACGAGACTAGGGTTCCGGAATTCCGAGCAACCTGCCCGAGGGGATGCGCATATGCAAGCATACAGGACTTGATATGGCAGTGGCCTAAACTGTAGGAGTCCGACAACCTAGTTTGTGGCCACAGGAGCCACCTTCATTAAGGCTGCAAACCCCAAACCAGAAGAGGCCCAAAGCCAAAATCCTTAAACCCCAAACCTCACTAAGCCCCTAGGCCCCAGGCCCTACAGCAGCTTGCATAGTAATCCTCACGCCGCTGCAGGAACCCTAAGCCCCACCCGAAACTCTCAAACCCTACGACCCTAAACCCTAAAACCAAAAAACCTAGGCCCTAATCCCGAGCTAAGACGGATCATATCCTCGGGACGCGGGGCGCCAGCAGCCACCGCCTCATTCCGATCGCCTTTCCTTTGAAGGAGCTCTGAACCCTAGAACCGGAAGCCTGCCCCCAAACCCTACACCCTAAAACCCTATGTAAACCCTCTAACACATCACAAAACACTGCGGGAGGGGTGGCGGTGCTAGGGTCGAGGGAGGTTTGAGATTCAGAGGTGGGGCTTTGCCATGACTTGATCGGCTGACAGAGACAACGCACCTTGATATGGCTATGCAGACCTCATGGTAATAATGAAGATGAAGATAAAGATGTTCATGGCTCCCATGGTGTTCATGATGATGCTTCTGCTTCTGATGATACTGGTCTCGTCAGTATCCGAGAGAGAAACCCAGATATAGACTCACCAACATTTCAAAGAACCCCAACCACACTCGCCAGAACCTCCACTAGCCATGCTGCATGACCCGAAAAATCACGAACCCTTTTCTAAAATTCACGAACCCGTGTTTTAGCCCAAAGCCCGGAACCCCTGCACCCTGAATTCACGCTTCTTCCCAGGCTCATCAGATTTGTGAAGGTTCGGAAGCCTGCGGATGAAATTCGGATTGGAGAGCTTGGAGCACGGTCCATAAGGGGTTCTGTGTGCCGGATGTATAGAGGCTTGGATATTGCGAGTTCGCGCAGTCTTGTACACCTTTACATTGGTGAAATCGGCTCTGTGTGCGTGTTGTGCTTTGAACAGCTTGGTGGTCGAAGTGCGCATGAGTATTGTTGATGTTTCTGATAACATTGACAAAGATCTGGAGTGAATGTTTGGAGAACTACGAACCCTAATCGGTCTCATCATCACCATCACCGGTTTAACAATCACAACATCCGTGATCATCGCCACCATCATGAAGCATCGACTTCTTTATCATCAAGACTACAAATTACATCGCCACCATGATCCTCATCATCGAAATCATCATCGCCATCATCGTGATAGCCATGATTTTCGTCATCATCACTAATGCTGTCGTCATCGCGTCATCAGCATCCCGTCCGTGCCTCAATGCCATCACCAACGACAACCCAAACATTGCCATCATACAACCATAATCAAAGTCCTCAACATCAGTGCGGCTGCTTCTGCTTCGTCTTACTCTCAGTCTCACTACTCTCACTCCTGTTCTTTTTGCTAGTGATTCTTGGTCACCGCCGACGCCACCGCCGCCACCGCCGGAACCGCCGCCGCCGAGCGCCGCCACCACCACCGCGGCCACCACCACCGCCACCGCCGCCATGTTTCGGGTTTAGTTTCGGGATGTTTCCCTAAACCCTAAACCCCAAACCCCTAAACCCTTAACCCGACCCAGTCCCAAAGAACCCTACCTTGTGCGATGCTCTCCAGGCGGTCAGGGGCCATGCGCGCGCGGCCCTTGTAGAGGTAGGCTTTCAGCGCCTCCGCTAGGGTTTAGGGTCTAGGCCCGGTTTGGTAATTTAGGGTTTTCAGGGCTTCTTAGGGAGCTTTGAGGGTAAGGTGTGAGGGGGTTTGAGGTTGGAGGCGTCGATTTTGGCTGTTGGGATGTTTAGGGCCTCTTATGGGGCCTTGATAAAGGCGGTATCGGAAATGCCAAGCCAGGCACTGCAGCAGCGCTTCCGAATCCCACACCCCAAACCCCAAGATGTCCCCGAAACCTTCCGGATGCGATCACCATCGTCTGTCAGCAGTCGGCGCGCGATGTATGGAAACGTCTCGGACCTGAGCGTATAGGGTTCAGGGCTTCGGGTTTCTCAGCTCTAGGACTAGTTAGAGTGGAGTCTTCGGGCTTCGGGTCAGGATCTACGTTTCAGGGGTTGGGGCCAAGAGACCTCAAACATGAATCCTATGAGCAGGGTCCAGAGAGCATGGCTCCACGTGGAGCTATCCGAACTTCTGTGGCCAAAGCTTTCATCATCAGGTTCGGCCGTGCCTTCAGAGCTGGCCAAAGTTATGTTGTTGCGCGTGTCTGTACTCTGTCGCCACAGAACACAAGGTAACTTCCTCAGCGGTCGCTTAGTTCGATGATTACAGCTCTGATGAAGATTATGATTTTGTGTCACAAACTCTCTGACATTCTGGCATTTTGCGCCGCCCCACACCACAAACTTAACACCAAATGCACTACCCCGAGCCTCACTACCTGCTACACTGCAAATCCTAAATCGGAGCCACTCAACTGTTCTACACTCCAAGGGTAAAAGGAGGGACCCTTAATAAGGACCCCTAGGTATATAGCCTTAATATAGCTACTCTATACCCATTCTATAGCCCATTATAGGCTAGGGGTCCCCATTAAGGGTCCCTCCTTTTCCCTTTTGATACACAACCGTGAGGCCTCCGAAACCAAAGCCCCTCAAGCTGTTTCCACACCCAAACCAACCTGAAAAACCCTAAAAACCCTAAACCTCAAAACCCTAAACCTTAAGATCCCTAGGGCTTAAACCCTGGGATCCTGAAGCCTTCGAGCAACCAGGAAATCTCCCCAACGTACTACAATATGATGTAATATACTGCAGTATACTGTAATATACCAAAATGTACTACAATGTTCTGTAGTATACTGTCGCAATGTACCAGAAAGCACCATAAGATACGCCAGACTCCGCCACGTCCCTGGGGCCAGCACGACAGTGAAAAGTCCTTGTTTGCCCTGAGGCCGACGCCTGCCGTTCGGAGCGCAGGGGCAATAGCTTGACAGAGGGGCCTGAAGAATATCTCAAACTATACTCTGGCATAGTAAACCGTACTATCTTATGCTGTATTGTAATTGTATTATATCATGCTGTACTATACTCTATCTATCGTATTATACTATACTGCACTGTAGAGCACCCCAAGGCCGGATTCAAAATTATGAACATCGGGCGTGCTCAGGGTGTTCTTCTGGGGATTAGCGTTTGGGGTTTAGGCTTCGGTCTCTTGCGCTAGAAACTGAAGCCTAAACCCTCAACTCTGAACAGTTAGAGTTTCCAAACGGCAGGGCCAGGATTTCTGGACTGCGTGACAAAGGCTCGGATGCTTGGGGTTCAGGGTTTTTAGGGCTCTGCGGTTTAGGGTTTAGTGTTTAGGGCCCGAACTTGAAAAGAAGATGTCAAACGTGTCTTCGCTAACAAAGCAATGACTTTCCGAGAGCACATGAAAGCCTAAGATGCCAGAGTTGAGCCCTTCAATCCTCAGCACTTCCAGAAGCTTCCAGGGTTTAAAGCCCAGGGATTGGGGTTTACTGCTTTACCCTAAGCCCTACACCCCAAACCTAGCGCTCTTACAGCAAAACACGATGCAGTTCCAGGCGCGGTGAAGAGGAAGAGAACTCTGGTAATGCAGTGCAACCCACCACAAAGCGGTTTAGGGCTTAGGGTGCATGGCGCATGAGAACACAGCAGAGAGAGAACGGGAGCAGGTTCATGTTGCACCAACCTTTAGATAATCATGTCTGAACATCAAATGCAGCACTGCAGCAGAGTACAGCGGAGCACAGGAAAGGCACGGAACCCACCAAAAAAAAATATGGGAACACCCCAAATACCCACTACGTGCATCCAACGCTAAAGAGCTTGAAAGAACTTTTGGAAGGACGGTCGCAGATTAGGGTTCACGAAAGGCCCCACCGGAGCGTCGCATACTCAACTCCGAACTAAAGGTCCTCCCGGATGCGAGCGTTGAGGGCGAGTGCCGACAGACTTAGCATGTGGCTTTGGGATCCGATCCCCCCAAAAAACACCACTGTTTCTTCAATTCCTCGTATTTACAGGACTAGCATTCCAACGCTTCTCTCCATACCTCCCAGAGACTCCAATATCCCTTAACTAAGGAATTTACCTTAAATACCAGTAGGATCCCTAATATGATGATTTAAGGTATTTTCCTAGAGACTCCAATATCCCTCAATTAAGGAATAAATATACGGTAAATAACAGTGGGATCCCTAATATAATTTAAGGCGTATATTCCTTTTAAATGAGGGATAACCCGTTTATTGAGGTATATTCCTTTTATCTAAGGCATACTCCTTTTAATTCAAGGATATTGGAGTCGCTGGGCTCGGGCCTTCGAGAGTTGCCAGAGCCCGGATGATCAGCGTGGCATAGCCTCTCCCACAGCAATGGTTAATCTAATATAGGGGGCCTTAATAGTTAGAATAGGGTTCCCTTTAAGGGCTCCTTTAACGGAGTTACTATGGGATCTATAGTAGGGTTGTATGATATAGCGGCCTTAATAGTCAGAATAGGGTTATGGGGGCCCATTATACTATAATGATAAGAAGGCACCCCCAAAGTAGTGTATAGGTAACTATATAGGCCCCTATAGTAACGAAAAATTGCCCCGGAAGAGGCCGGAATCTCTCGAAGCCCTCATAATAAGGGTCCCACTACTAGGGCAAAAAGGCTAGGGTTGGGGGTTTAGGATTTAGGGTTTAGGGTTTAGGGTTTAGGGTTGGGGGTTTAGGATTTACTAGACAGCTAGATATCTGTACATGCTATACCCACTCCTCCACAACGGGAGCTATACAGTAGTGGAGAACGACAGTCAATCTGCCAACCTAATGTAGGAGGTAAGACTGGGTTCGGGTTACCTGTAGCCGAAAAAACCCTACCTTTTAGGTTTCGTGATTATAGTTTCTATATATATATATATATATAAATCCTTGAAATATAACTCCTGAAAAAAGTCGGTTCTTCGGGCCATCCAACCCAAAGCCCCAATACCTGCCAGCTGAATAGGCTGTAGGTTCTGGGCGAGTTTAGGGTTCAGGGTGTCGGGTCAACCCTGAACCCTTGAATCCTAAACCCCTAAACCCCTAAACCCCTAAACCCCTAAACCATGAATCCTAAACCCTAAACCCTTAAACCCCCAAAACCTACACCCCTGAACCCCTAAACCTCTAAACCCTCTGTGCAGAGGAGGAGCTAGGGAGCTCGAAGGTGCCATACTTCTTTGCGATGTTTTGGAGCTCCTGGACCACTTTCCACAAGAGCAAGGGTTTTTTGTTAAAGTGCAGTGGCCTTTCGCAAGGGTTCAGGGTCGAGGGTTTAGGGTTCAGGGGAAAATCTCTCTGTGAGATCGGAAGTGTAGGGGTTTCCGGGCGTTCAGGGCTTTCGGGGTTTAGGGTTTGGTCGAGGGGTTTAGGGTTCGAAAGCAAGACCTGCTCTCCACACTCCTGAGCATTTGGCGACATACCCTTGATGGCGATTTCACTTCGACTGCAAGGTGAAAGTGAAACCATTAAAAAACAAAATCCTCGACCCTATCTAGCGAGAAACTCGAATTCCTGAACCCTAAACCTTCAGCCCCATCAAACCTAAACCCCCTAACCCTCAGCCCAAAACTCACACCCTATAGAACCCTGATGTAATAGCACCCTGACAGAACCCTCATGAAAGCAAAAACCCCCTCCCCCCCCTTCACCGCCCCTTCAAAGATTGGGTCCTCCTGGAGCACTTCCAGCTTACCCGTAGCTTCCAGCTCCTCGGTGGGCGGGATTGAGTTTAAGTGTAGGGCTTTTGGTTTAGGGTTCAGGGATCAGGGTCCGGGCCTTAGGGTTTTGGGCCTTAAACTGACGTTCACTTCTGTTCGGGCAAGGCAATCGCAAGATTTCGCGACAGCGACAACAATGCAAGCGGCAACGATCATATCGTCGATGTCGTGTAAGACGACCGCTGCAACGACAACGATGACAGCGATGAGGAGGCCAGGAGGATGGTGATGATGGTGCTGATTTTGCTGATGGTAATGATGATAATGCTTGATGTCGACCATGGCCATTCCGAGTACCATGGTGCGATCGTTTGAGTAGCAACGAAAGATCGTCATCGTAATCATCCCATCTGCATCAAAAATGAGCCCGCTTCGATGCCCGCCAACGTGATCATCACCTTCACTACAGCCGGCATCATCAGAACCTTCTTCCTTCTTCCTCATGACCATGATCATGGTCATGATGGCCGTGGCGATGTGATCGTGATGATGGTGATCGTCATCATCACACGGCCGTGATGGTCATGGTCATCATCATCATCATCACCTTCATCATCAGTGTACTGGCCACCAGCAAGAGAAAAAGCAAGAAGAACAAACACAACTATAACAATAAACAAACGAGTAGCCTCGCGCTGTTTGATGAACTTCTCCCTCTGAACCCGGAGATCGCTCTGCTCGAAGAGGATGTTTAAAGTCTCGGCCTGAGTCAGCTCAGGAGAATTATGGGCTTTAGGGTTTAAGGCTCAGGGATTGGGGCATTGAGTCTAGGCTTCAAGTTTAGGGTTCGGGCTTCAGGTTTTACGGTTCAAGGTTTGGGCTTTTCGGGTGTCGGGTTTATTGCTCAGGGTGTCTGTGTGTCGATTTAGGGGTGCCCGCGTCCGCGATGCGCAGGTGTTACAAGGATTCTCCAGCACCCCCTTCAGTCTTGAGGGCTTCAGTGTAGGGTTCTTTTAAAGTGCAATGACCCCTTTCCCACTCCGCACGCAGCGCAGGTCATGAGCCTGCCTTCTCGGCATACACTACCAAACAAAGCATCGACCCTCCGTTGCACTTAGGTTTTAGGGTTTAGGGTTTAGGTTTAGGGTTTCGGTTTGAGGGTTTAGGTCTCGGGCTTTGGGGTTCATTCGTTTTAGGCTTTAGAAACCGACTGCTTCGGTCTCTCGCGTTGCACTCAGCTCCGGACGAGCCGGGGTACGATAACTTCTCGCGCCACCTCGCAGTGAGCGAAGCTTCGAGGATCATGGGACTTAGTAAGTTTGGGGATCTGAAAGGGCAGCTTAAAGGGACCCTTAGAGGGCTCCTTAAAGGGATCCTTACGGAGCTCCTTAAAGGGATCCTTAAAAGGATCTATAAGCTTCCGACCCCACAAACGCCAAGAAGAAATGCTAAATCCTAAAACTAAAGATTGTGGGTTCCCTAGGTATCGGCAACTGAAACCCTAACTCCGGTGTTTGCCATAAATCCTAGCAAACCCCTCGCAAACGAAAGCTGCCCTCAAAGATACAACCCTGACCTTAAACCCACTACAGCCACCGAAACTAAGACAGTGGTCTGAGTACTCTGCAGCAAACTTGTGCAATAACCCTTAGATAACTAGTGTATAACATGCCCCAAAGAAAACCTTACTCCAATTACTCAAGGCCCTTGGCCCTAAACCCCACACCTTCAACTTAAACCCTAAACCCTAGACCTCAAACCCTCATGTTAAACCCCAAACCCTAAATCACAAACCCTGAAACCCTAATCCCTAAGCCCTAAACCCTGAACCTAAGCCCGAATATCTGAGGGGGTAGGGGGGAAGGGGGCAGGGGGCCTTAATTCCAAAAAAAAGGACTCTAAAAGGCCTCTTTAAGGAAGCATAGTCCCCCACCCCCTCTCCCCCTACCCCCCCACGGGTCCTTATGCCTAAACCCTAACCCCTAAACCCTAAACCTCTAAACCAACCCTAAACCCTAAACCCCAAGCCCTAAACCGAATATGTTCTGCTCGACGATCACTTCCCAGTCCGGTCCTTGTCATTGGCAATGCCCTCGGGGAGGAACTCCAGGGTGACCAAGTCTTGCAGGCACCTGCAGAGCTAGGATACCCAGTAACCTAAGAATAAAAAGGCCTCTCTCTTTGGTATTGGGTAACTTTATAAGGAACCTAGGACTACAAAAAGGGAATAAGGGTACTACTGGGCATCCTAGAGAGATGAGCCGGCTCAGGATTCACGGGGCTTCAGGCTTTGGGGTTCAGGGCTTAGGGGGTTTAGGATTTAGGGTTTAAGGGTTTAGGGCTTAGGGGGTTTAGGATTTAGGGTTTGGCGGTGTAGGGCTCAGGGATTAGGATTTAGGGTTTAGGGATTAGGATTTAGGGATTCGTGTCGAGGGTCTAGGACTTTGGAAAAGCTGGGTTCCTAGAAGGGTTCCTAGCGGCCTTTATAAACAGAGAAACCTGCAACAAACACCCCGCCCTGAAACGGGCCAACCTATGTCGGCGGAGGTCCCGTATTGACGTTACACTACCGCTTCGTCGGGTGCATCAAGATGCTTTCATACGGATTCATGAGACTTCCTCAAGATGGGGGACCCTCGTTTTGAAGCCAAATAAGAAGGCTCGCACGGACCCTGAGGAGGGACCCCTTAGTTGCCAAGAACCCTGCTTAGAATCCTTTACAGTCGCCGTTGAGGGAACCCTTAAAGGAACTCATAAGAAGCCATTAAGGAAGCTTTGAAGGAACTCCTAAGGAATTGTCAGGGAACCCTTAAAGGAACCCTAAGGGATCCCTTTAAGGGACCCTCATAGAGAATGGCGACCCCAAGCTCAGTTTACGAATTTAAGCAGGGGTTTTAAGGGTTCACGACCTAGCGCTCAGGGTTTAGGGGGCTTTAGGGTCTTAGGGGTTTTGGGGTTTAGGAGGGATTCGGGCTTAGAGCATGGGATGGTTTAGGATGGTTTGGGATTTTGGGCTTACGGTTCAATCGCAGGACAGGGGCCCTCCTGCGTCTACACCTCTTTGATCAAGGCCCCGGCTCGTCGTACATGTTGGCCTGCACCTGGGATGATTGCGGGTCGCGCTTTTGGTTTAGGGTTTAGGGATATGGATCCTCAGCCCGAAAACCCCAACCCTCAAAACCCAAACCCTGAAACCTTGGGACCCCTCACGGGATTTTGGCTTTGGGTTTTAGATTTGGGGCTTAAGAAATCACACTGCCCCCCCCCCCCGAGGTCGGGACGTGGATGAGGTACTCGATGAGGGCAACCCGCTTCTCGGGCGTGATGCGCGTCATGAGCCCGTAGTCCAAGATCCCTCGGGTCAAGGGTTCGGGGTTTATAAGATTCAGGGTTCAGGGCTTCCCCTCTTTTAGAACCTTGAATTGAAGCCGAATCCCTGAAGCCAGAAACTCGAACCGTAAACCCAAAACCCCTAAACTCCTAGAGCCGCAAACCCACGGCCGACGCGCGGCCGATCTTGCCCGTGGGCATGAGCACGAAGTTCCCGGGATGGGGGTCCTCGGAGTAATGATGAGGATGGGGTTTGGGGTTGTTTGGTGGTTTGGGGTTTAAGGTATGAGCATAGGCAGAGTAGGATTTCTATTTTTTTTGGGGGGGTTTACGGATAATGAAAGTTGGTGTAAGGGTTCCCTAAGCCCCTGTCTTCAAATGTCATTCCGAGGGTCACCATGTAGGAAGCCAGTCTCGAGGAGCTGCACCATGTACCTGGGTTTAGGGGCTTAGGGTTTAGGAGTTTAGGGTTTAGGGTTTACCTGGAGCAACCTCCTGTATACTGCGAGTACTACCACCACCACGAACACCACCTCCAAAACATTCGCCTGATCAGCACCGTGCCAAAAGCCCGACCTGAAAACACAACCGGGTTCGGAGTAGAAGATTCAGGTATTGAGTTTGGGATCTTATATCACATGGTTAGGCCGGAGCCAGGGCAATGGAGGGCCGCAAATACGAACATCAAACCCCACAATGCTGCCACGAAGCGAGTTCAACAGGACTTTGACCTTGGCATCACAAGCAAGGGTCTAAAGGGTGGTGCTTTTTGTCTCCGAGAGATAATTAGCGTTTTGGTCCTACAGGCAACCTTCGGCACCGTGTATCGCGGCTGCTCCAAGAAAAGATGCACAACCAAGAGACAGCATGACTTTGAGGGTGGCACGATTTACTGCATGTCTCGTGCTAGTACCAACCACAACGACAACCACAGCGACGACGACTGCGACGAGGACGAAGGCCACGATCAATAGCGACCGCCTTCATTAATGAGTTCAATAAGTAGCAGCCACCACCAATCTTGAGGTCCAAACGATAGAATGTCCCCCCACCACTACCTGAATTGCTGGGTGGGTCTGGGCCAGTGTCGGGGCCGCAAATAAGTACCGCTGTAAGTGACCCTGTTTGTCGCGCCTACCGTGTAGCTTCTGGAACTTCCCGAATCTCTGGCTGTGGCAAAGTACTGCTGGCAACAGCCCGATTCTGCTGCAGAGGTGTGAAAGTAGCGTCAACGCCCTTGTTCTCGCCAGCGTCCGCTTGCGAACACCAACGCAGCTACTTTGGGTCAGATGCCGAGCCCCGAGACCCACAACCTCCAGACGAGAGCATGTCAGTACGGGCGAACAAGCCGAGCGACAGATCGGATACAGTATAGAACGAGAAGTTACAACAAGCGCCGTGCTTGACGCATGGGCATCGTTGCAACCCCCCTGACCCCAGGTGCCAACTGCGGAACAGGAGCAACAGCAGTACCATGAATGGCAGGAGTGGGGCAGGAGACATGCGGGAAGTAGACCAGTAGTAGTAGTAGTAGTCGTCGTCGTCGTCGTCGTCGGCGTTATCGTTGCCGGAGTCGTAGTCACAGCAGCAACAGCAACCGCAGCCGCACCCACAGCCTTGTCCAGTCGCAGCCGCTCGCAGTCGCAGTCGTAGTCGCAGTCGTACCACTATAATGTCACTACAGTTATAGTATGGTAACTCACTAGAAATAACAGCGGCAGAATTATACTTCAAGGTTCTAGCCCCTTTTGAGTCCCAGGCCACTTCCTGCGACTGATCCTTTGCAGCCCCTTCCTCGGTCAGCTTCTTCCCAGGGAGCCACTCCTGGTTTGCGGCTTAGGAGGTTTAGGGTTTAGGGGCCCGGGTTTAGGGCTTTTAGGGTTTAGGGTTTAGGGTCTTAGGGTTTAGGGCTTTTAGGGTTTAGGGGTTAGGGGTTTAGGGGTTAGGGGTTAGGGGTTTAGGGGTTGAGGGTTTGAGGGTTTTGGGGGGCTTGGAGTTTGAGGTGCACTTGTAAGATTTAGGGCTTGGAGATAGGGGGTTCAGAGGTATATGAGGCCTATGCTACGAATATGCGTACACGCATATGTACACACATGTGTATCTATGTGACTTCTTGTCTCAACAGGCTCCTTGCAGATCTGCACTAAGGGTGTGTGTATATAAGTAGAAACTGATTGGATTTTTTGTTTGCATGTGCTTACAGGTTGGTCCGCATGGGATCCTTTAACAAACCCTTATGGAACTCCAGTCCCCCACGTACCCTATACCTTAAAACCTTAAGCCGTATACTACTGAAGCGAATAACAACTGCTGATGGACAAAATCCTGCCTTACCCATTGTAAGGAATATACCATAGTTCCCAGAGTCCTTAGGGTCATGCAGGATTTTGTGTGCATTGTACGGAACAGCACAGGCTCCCTCAAGGGTTCCTGTCTGAAGGTTTTACGAAAGGGGGTGGGGCGTTTGGAATTGAGCTCATGGGCCTGAAGAGTTGGGACAAGGTTTGGGGGCGTTTCTTGGTGCCTTAAGAATTAGAATATGATTTTGGGGGCCCCATTATACTAAAACAAAAATACGGAACCTATAGGTAAGTTTTTTTTGCCTATGGTACTGCTGTACAAGTACAAAAGGACTAAATTCGGGGGCCGGGCGGTTTGTGACTTCCTGCTCAGACCTCCCTAGAATACCTCAAGATGTCGAACCTACTATTTCGTCTTAATGCTATTGGGTTGGTTTAGAAAGTTTAGGGTTTAGGGCTTAGGGTTTAGGGCTTAGGGTTTCTTGGTTTAGGGCTTAGGGTTTAGGGCTTAGGGTTGAGGACCCGCAATCCCACCGGAAAAAACAAAAACCGCTCCTGCACCAGAACTTCTCTCGAAGCTTTCAGCACCTCCGGCACGACCACCGTGTCCTCGACCTGGCATTAGGGATTACAGTAGAAGCCAGAAAGTTGGAATATCATTATCGTAACCCGTTTAGGGTAAATTATAGGGGATCCTACCATTAATCCATATTCCAACTTTCTGGAGTTCCCTGTAGGGTTTAGGGATCTGCCTTTATGTTCAGATTGTCGCTTCCAGGGACAACAGCAAGTCTGTCCGTTATATAGAGTTTCGTCAATGATGGATGTTAGTCTCCCGATTCCTCCTCTTCGAGAATTGTCGGGCTATCAAGCCCGCATGTGAAGCAGAGTAAAAGCAGCACAAGGACCTAAACGGCCATCATACAGTCTGCGATGTGTCCTTTTCTGGGAATCTGTACCAGCTACTAAAAACAGCTAGCCTTGGTTAGTAGCTTTTGTCTTTCAATCTTTGTGTTTATGATTTAACCAGTATGTTTCAACCAGATTGAAAAACCCTGCACAATCCGCAAAACTCCGGAAGCCATACGCCCACACCCAAACTCCAAATACAAAATCCTAAGCCCTTCCCTTACCGCCTTCATGCCTGAATCCCAAAACGACCCAAAACCCTGAACCGGGAAGCCCAAAACGCTCAAGTGACGCGGCAACATGAAAACAAGAACATAGACCTGCGGCAACAAGACATTTTTACAATTGCAGAACCCCACATAAGAATGCCGAATTCCCGCAAACCCCAGTTCCTGAACCCTAAACGATTAGGCCCCGAATTGCCAGAGGAACCAGTTCGCACTTTGAGATGAGCTCAGCAAACTCGCGCTGGTTCTCCGCTTCAAACTCCTCGGCTAGGGAGTTAAATACCGAACCTACTTCAACGGCCATGGGACTTAGTAGCTAGGGTTATAATTAGGGTAACTATACTTATAACTACTTATAACTCCGATTAAGGTACCATAACCCTACTTGCTAAGTCCCATGCTCCAAGTAAACATACCTTGAAAGGAACCCCAACCCTGAGTGAATCAAACCCTAAACCAAATCCTTTATACTCCGGCGGCGTCTTGCTTCTTCAGAGATTTGGGTTCAAGCTCGCGAGTTCGTAGCCCGTGCCTTGCACAAAGGACGATCCGAAATCCTACACCCCGAGCAATCTCGCTTCCTGCACACATACACACATGCCTGCATGCATAAATACATCCCTAGACCCACCCTATAGACCCCTGTAAGGAACCCTATAGATCCCTTTAAGGAGCCCTTAATGATCCTCTAACTAGATAGCATCCCAAGCTTCGTAGTCGAGCTCTTCGATAAAAGGGGGCGCAGCCCGGTCGACGAGCTCGAAGATGCTCTTAAACCTCGGATAGTAGGGTTTAGGGGTTCCTCTAAGGGGTTCCTTCAAGGGATCATTTGAGGGATCCTTTAAGGGATCCTTTGAGGGATCTATGGGATTTAGGGTTTAGAAATTTTTGGGTTCAGGTTTTGGGGTTTAGGGTTTAGGGGCTCAGCCTTTAGGGTTTAGGCTTTGAGGGTTTGGGGTTTAGGGATCGGAGTACAGGGAAAAGTAATGCTTCAAGAGTTCCCTAGCATGCTCTTTCAGACTTTCTATAAGCTTTTAACATAGGTGTCGGACTGAGTAGAATAAGGTTTATACTGTAAGAGTTACGAGGACCTCTAAGGAATAGTGACACCTAGCTAAATAAAGTTTTGCAGTATGTTATGATATCATATCATACTGAAAACATGAAAAAAACCTTAGAAACATAAATATTGGGTCAAGGCTCCTGGCGTTTTGTTCGGAAGGTTCGGAGCTAGAGCTTGGAGTTCTTGGCTTTGGGGCCTAGGGTTTAGGCTTGGGGTCTAGGGTTTAGGGTTTTGGGGGTTTGGGGCGAGTTATAGTGTTTTCGGGCCGTGTGTTGAGGGTGTGCGGGGTGTGGATTGTCTGCAAACTTGACCACATAGCTCAGGAGCTTGACTCGTGTATAAACACGGAGAGGGAAAGGTAGAATGTAGAGGGAACAGTAGCATGTAGACTTGTGATTACTAAGGCCCCCTGGCAGGATGCCAATAGTCGAGTTTTTCCCAGTGCTTGTTCTCGAAGGCAGTATAAACATCTCATGCGTTGCTCAAGCCTAGCTGGCCTAGCTTTCTTTCGGAAGGCAGAGCGTGCTACACTCAGGATTGTGAGACTGCATCGCCAATCATACATGAGGCTCCAATTGTAGGTAGCTGCTGAGCCCAGGGCCTGCTGTGACCCGGCACTACACTGATGGTTTTGCGATGTTGGCGACAGGTCTTCAGCTTCTGCTAGGATTTCGGGCTCTTCGAAATGTTTGGGAAGATTTTCATGGTGGTGCTTGAGAGGTTCAACCTTTGGGGTTCGAGTCTCTTGGGCGTGTGCTTCCCAGTAGACGAGACACTGGCGCGCGTAGCGCTCGATCGGAACGAAAGAGCCTGAATCGCGAGAAATTGTGGCCTACTATAGGCTTGTTGATGCTGTCGCACAAGCATCTTCAGATCAGTCCAGTACAATGATCGCCTTGTAGTTTCTGCTACAAATATAACACATCCCAAAACCCTATTTTATCTTGTCAGGGTTGGGGCTTCACGTCCCAACACAAACCCTGTACCGGACAGTACTGAATGGTGTCCAGGCTCGCCGACACTCGCAAAACAGTCCAAGTCTCAAGGGCTAAAAACCTCGATTTGGGAAGTGCTTCTCAGGTGGAAGAAGAAGCCCGCTAAATCTTCAGAGCAAACGTCTTACTGATGGTAGAAACACGCGATCCCCAGATCGGAGATACTTTCTGGAGCGCACCATACACCATCAACAAAAAGCATCACTGGCTCAGCGCCAGACCGATGGCTGCAAGTTTCCGGACCACGAAAAGGTCAAGCGTGACCTGCAAATATGGCTCATTGACCTTACAAGGGCGTGGTAGGAGGTTGAAACATTATGATCATGTGGGGAAGGCCTCAAGGTTTCGATCAGAGGCCGAACAAAAAGATCCTGACCTCGACCGATAAATCGCCCGCAAAGCCCTGGAGCCAGGGCTTTGCACATCCGAAGCAGCGCAAACACAAATCACACGCCATCAGACTCGGCATCCCAGCACAGGGCCCCAATGAGTTTAGTGTACAGTGTGCTTAATACTTCGAGATTAGTGCCGACCCGGTCCCAAGATAAAACCTGACGCAAAAGCTTTGTCATAATCCCATTGCACATTTCTACAGACCGCAAATGCCTTGTCATGACACAGGCGGACACGACTAAAAATGCTAAAACTGTTTGACTGTAAGCCCTCCAAAAACGAACCTTAAATCCTGTCTCAACCTAGCGAAAACCGATAACTCCCCAAAGGCCTCACGGATAAACTACGAAACTAAACCCCAACAGAACACCCAGGACCCAAACCGGCAACCGCACAACCTGGAACATCAACAGCCTAGACCTCTGATATTCCGGGAACCCAGAACCCCAAAGTTCAAGAGTGCCCGAACCCTTTCAGAGCGATAATCCTAAATCCACATAAGGCCGATTTCAAAACCCTAAACCCTAAACCCTAACCCCTAATTCAACCGCATAAGCGGCCAACAGAACCTTCAACAACAAATCAACACAAACAAACACAGAAACACAACGACAAGCAACGAGTTCACTAAATGAGCCAAATGACAAGGAATTGACATTTTGCCACTGTTCAGAGAATCATACCAGTGCACTTGTACATATATATATATATATATATAGTTATTTATTTAGTTATTTATTTATTTGTTGATTTGTTTATCTATCATCTACTTACACATATATATATATATATATATATATATAGATAGAGAGAGAGAGAGAGAGAGAGAGAGAGAGAGAGAGAGAGAGAGAGAGAGATTGACTTATTTATTCACAGCATACAAAAATCACTTATCCACGGCCTGCTCGCGCACATCGGGTCGCTGAACTTTCACGGCCACCTTCTCGAGGGTTCAGGGCGGTGTAGGCCAAGCAGAGCTTGGGTTTTGTGTTGAAGGTTTGAAGTTTAGGGCGGTCACTTTAAAGTCTGGGGTCTGGTGTTTGGTTTTGTTTAAATGCACTGGTTGTTGCTCTGCCCCCTAAACCCTAACCCCCACTGCGGGCCTGGGCCTGCCCCTCACCTGTGCGAGAGCTTCCTTGCGGGAGCACCGCCGTGAAAACCTTTCGGCTTTAGTCGAGAAGCTGAAGGTCGTACGGCATTGCGTTTGAAGTGTCGATTCCACGTAGGAGCACGAACATGCAGAACTGAACAGCGGTTGACATTTTGAAAATGAAGCTTTTCCAAGATACTGGATCCTTAAAGCCGAAACCGTTTTTGAAGGAGACGAACAAGGATTTTGCATGGTAAGGCAGGCAAAGAAAACCCAACGCTGTAGGGTTTGGGTTTAAGGTTTGACCGGGAAAGAGGCCCTGCACGGCCCCTCCGTCCCAAAAAAAAAGGCCCAAACAACACTACACTCCAGATCCTCACCCAAAACAATCCTCCTCTCTGAACCCTGACCCCCGAACCCCGAAATCCCCAATCTCTATCAAGTCGACAAATAGAACCCAAAACAAAGTCCTGAATCCCGATCAAACCCACCAAGGAAAACCCAAAACAAAATCCAAAAAGTCCCTATCGAATCCTATTGCACCGACCGAGAAACGAGCCCGAAACCTTACACCCAAAGCCTCGCAGCCCTAAACCTTAGACCCTAGACCCCAAACTCTGAAACCCAAACCCTAAACCCTGAACCCAAAGCCTCGCAGCCCTGAACCCTAGACCCTAGACTCTTGACCCTAAAACCCAAACCCTGGCGTTTGGGGTTTAGGGCTTCCTAAGCCCTAAACCCAAAGCCTCGCGGCCCTGAATGCTAGCGCGGTAGACTTGGCCCACAGAGGCCGCAGCCACCTGAACCAAGGGCCTTAAAGGGTCCTCAAAATTAGGTCAGGGTTCCCCTTAAGAGTTCCTTTAAAGGGTCCCTGTTAAAAGGCTTCTATAAGGGGTTTAGGGCTTAGCGCAGGGGCATTAATAATTAGAATTGGGCTAGATGAAAAAGCACGATAAGTATCATAACGAACCCGAACTAGTATATCAAAGGGTTTAGGGTTTACGGGTTTAGGGCAAGCATTTCCCCGATGCTCCGCATACGAAACTTAGCATCGAGTTTCTTACAACCTCGAGCAGGATGTGCGACTCCAAAAGCCAAAAGATGTAAAGCCAAGCTAACTATTTTTCTTGACAGTTTGGGGGTTTGAAAGCATCTAGGCGAATTGGCTTAGGCTTGAGAGCTTGGAGTTGCATGATGAATTTTGTGGCTGCTGTGTGCGGGTGTTCTTCATTGTTCGGCTTGTTTCGCAGGATGTGGGTGCTTCGGGCATTGCGGGTGTAATACAGGGCCTTAATAATTAGAATAGGGTTCTGGGGCCCACTGTACACTGTACCTATAGTAAGGAACCCCCAAAATAATATAGGTAATTATTTAGGCCCCTATATTATCGTGTTGCATTTAGCTACCAAACCAAACCGAGCGAGAACGCGATGATTCTTCAGAAAGGCCTTGTAAAATCTCTTAGAGACCTCTCAGAGTCGACCTCGAAAGCTAAACCCTAAACCCCTAAACGCTGAAATTTTTTAAACCCTAAACTTAGGTACGGCCGGGCTACTATTGAGGTCCTACTATATCTGTATTCTGAATATTATTCAACTCTTACTGAGTGGGGGCCGTACCCAACCCTAAACCCGGAAATGCCCCACAAAGAAAGGAAGCCAGACTCAGTAGCGAGCCGGCTTCTCGAAGGCCGCCATATCGTCAAAGAGGCTGCGAACGGCCTGATCGAAACGGAGGAAGGAAGCTTCGTATCATATACCGCCTGTCATACATACATATCTATATATATATATACACATATTGTACCCTAGTATTATGCAATATCGTTTAATATCATACAATAGAATAGTATAACATCCTATGCTATATGACATTCTATCACATACACTCTGGTGACCAAGCAATGGGCTGCGCACCTTGTGGAATGCCCTGAAGCCTAAAGGCTACGAGAGCAGTACAGGGGCCAAAGTAACTAGAACAGCGTTTCAGGGTTTAGGGCCGTTCACAGCCCAGGACTTGGGCAGAAAGCAAATCAAACCCCATGGTGTAGGATTTAGGGTTTAGGGTCTAACCCTTGCGAGTGTGTTGAGACTTAAACTCCCAAAACCTAAAGCCGGAAATCCCCCACACCCGACCCTCACCCCTTTGAATCCTAAACCCAAACCTAAACCTCTACACTACCGATCTCAACCACTACAACTATCGAAAAGCCACAGCTAAGAGCCATGAAACCGTCAAGCCCACATAACTAAAAGCCATTAAGCCCTGAACCCCAAAACCCTAGAGATTAAAACCCTCAACCGGAAAATCCAAAAGCCTATAGATTCTAAAACCCTAAACCCTCCCCACCCCAAAGAAATCCCGCCTAAACAAATGACAGGGCGGCCTCCATGCCACCAAGGTTGCGGCGCAAAGTCTCCATCGCCTGGCCCAAGGGCATCTTAAGACTATCGATACCTTTATATCTACGAAATGGGACCTAGTATTTACAGGAAACATATTACAATCAATAATGACAGTGCATCTTAACGCTTTCTTCGGAAAACCACGGTTCAGGTGTTTAGGAATTAGCGGTTTAGTTTAGAGTTTAGAGTGTGGGGCTTAAGGTTTAAGGAGGTTGTTCTGCCCATCTCGCGCACACCTCCTCCTCAGGCCAAAGATTTTCAAGCACCACAACGAGCCAAAATCAGTCTCATTGCTCCGCCTTGAACGTTTCAGGGCTTAGGGTTTAGGGCTCTGCGGCTTTTAGGGTTTCGAGAGTGCAGGGGTTTCGTGTTGGGGGTTTAGCGTTTAGGGTTTTAAGATAGATGGCTGATGGACAAAACCTGCAATATCCTAAGCACTCACCTCCATGGAAACTACTGTATACTGCCTGCTGTGGACAGTGCAGGGCTTCCCCCCGCCAGCAATGGTGAGGCAGGGTATGAGGTGTAAACCCTGCCCCAGTTCCAAACAGGTCCATTGGGGTTTAGAGTTTAGGGTGCTCAAACCCTTCCTAGACAAAACCCTAAACAGCCAGGGATAAAGCCAAAGTCCACGCAAACCCATTACTTTGTTCAAGGTGTTGGGATGTAGCGATTAGTCTAAGGGTCAGAGATATCATATATCAGCGTAAGAAGGGCAGTGCAGCCAGAACAGAGTGCCTATGCTAAAGAAACCACCACCTGCTCAGCTGCTACTTGAAAAACGCGGGGCTCGGAACGGTCTTCGTGTCCTCATCACCGCACGCCATCAGTTCCGCGAAGTCGATTCTCACAGCCACTTCTTGCCCTGGCCCTGCTTCCGCAGTGCTGTTCAACATTCGCTTCAAGCGGTATCCAGAGGCCCAAACGTGCAACCGCTTTGTGGCGCTCTGACTCAGCCGTGAAGGAAAGGGCAACCTCGTGCCGAGCGGACGTCGACTTGTCTTACCAGGAGCCGGTTATGCACAATGCACTGTCTCACATCATGTGCAATGTCGTGATATTGGCTAAGGTCACGGAAGCACCGAGACTGACAGCCAGTGCACAGGATTTAGGACTTGAGGTGCTGGGTCTACAGTAGAATCCAAAAAGTTGGAACATCACCGTTCTGATATCCTAATGCTCTTAAGGTAAGGTGTAGGTCATGTTCCAACTTTCTGGGGTTCACTGCAAGGTTTCTTATGGCAGCAGGCTACTGATTGGGGCTGGAAGTGAAGTTGCTCGAAGCACTTGCAGCCGTCACGTACCTTCAAGTGGTCAACACCGATATCCGAAAAAGAATGAAAAGATGATGAGCTTGGCCGGTAGGGTTTCAGTGGCCGTGAATCCTATTCCAGATCCTAAACCCGAAACCCCACACCTCACAACCCCGAGCATTTGACGATTTCGGGCTTCAGGGCTCACGCTTTAGAACCCTAAACCCTGTAGAGAATTACGGGAAAAGCTCCCAAAAATTACGGGAAAAGCTCCCAAAAAAATCCTGCACCTCCTCCCGGCCGAAAGGGCGGACGCGCTCCAAGAGCCCCTCGAACTCCTGCCAAGAAGTGTGAGCCATCCCCAGAGATTACAGGGCCTCCTTAATTAGAATAGGGCTTTGGGTATATGATAGTGCAAGTATATGTATATATATATATATATATACATATATATATATATATATTGTGATGACCTCCACCTCCTGTGCATTCACAGATTTGCGCCTCCACTCCACAAGTCTACGTGTGCTCGCATGTGCGCAGCTAGGTAGGTGTCCTGTTCCGGCTGCTACCAGCACTGACATGAAAACGATGACGGTCATGATGATGCTGATAAAGACGATGAGGACGACGAGCTTGGCACTGATAGAGCCGAAGAAGAGGCACGATATGCATAAGAACAAAAAACTCAAAACGATAAGAACAGTCTATTTTGCCGCTGCTCGAGCAAATTGGCGAGGCGTAAACAACGTGTAGAAGTGACATGTTTTCTTGGAGGGTGGGCAGTGGGGCCCTAAAGCCATCCCATGTAATGTAGGGGCCTTAATAGTTACAATAGGGTCTTTAAACAAACAACCTGGCCCTAAACCCGAAACCCCTAAACCGTAAACCCTAAACCCAGAACTTGATACATCCGATCGCGACAACTTTGCACCCACAAACTCAAGGCCTCCATGGCATCCCTCGACAGTTTAAGGTTTACGGTTTAGGGGTCCTGGGTTTAAGGGATCTGGGTTTAGGGTTTAGGGGTTCTGGGTTTGGGGGATCTGGGTTTAGGGTTTAGGGTTTCTGGGTTTAAGAATCTGGGGGTTCTGGGTTTGGGGGTTTAGGGTTTAAGGGTTCTGGGAACATGGCAAGAATGGCAGAAACAGCAAGACAGGCAGCAAGAGCAAGTAACGGTGCGGTGCGAACAAGGAGTGAACCAATAAGATACAAGCACAAGGTGGCAAAGCTTAAGCATGGCCAACTCAGCCTTAGATCAAGAACTACGAGAATTTCAACAACGAGCTCGTCCATGATACAGGAAGCGGTAAACAACAAATAGCACTCTGTGCCCGACCCCAGGCTCTGAATCTTACGCGCTAAGCCCTAAACACCAAGCCCCCAACAAGCCCTTGCCGTTGAAACCCGAGATCCCAATCCCTGCTTCCAAGACTGTCAAGCCAAAACCCACGGAAAAGCAACCCCTCACCATGTGCCCTGCACCCGAGAAAACTCCAAAACTTTACAAAACCCCAGACCAAACACTCAAACAATCTTTCAAACGAAAAGCCATAGGAAAACCTAACCCCTCTGCCCGCCTTCTGGTAAGCCTCCGGCAGGGCATCGGGCCGAGAAGCGAAAACCTGACTTCGAGTAGTTCGGGGTGTTGAAAAAATGCGGGGTTTGGGGTTTCGGATTGCGGGTTTAGGGTTTTGGGTTTAGGATTTAGCGTTTGGGGTTTAGGGTTAGGGTTGCGGGTGTAGGGTTTAGGATTTAGGGTTTAGTGCTTAGGGTTTGGGGTTTAGGATTTACGGTTTAGGGTCGAGGGTTGCAGGTGCTAGTGCTTCGGGCTTATAGGGTTTAGGCTTCTGGGTTTGGGGGTTGAAGGCTAAATAATTTTGGGTTCTGTGTTGGGGTCTCTATTTTCTGGAACTCTCATTCGAGGTTAGAGAAGCGACTCACAATTCCTGGTTCAGGGTTTTCTCGGTGTGGCCCTGTCTCCCTCTCTCTGCCTCTCTCGCTCCCTCCCTGCCTCCCTCCCCCCTCTGTCGCTCTCTCTCTCTCTCTCTCTCTCTCTCTCTCTCTCTCTCTCGCTCGCTTGTTGTACTCGCATGTGCCTGCGTTTACAGGTTACATCACACGCAAAAGAACCCATGGAAAAATCTGAGTCTTGATCCCGGGGAGCCCTCCCTCCTCCTTCCGGCCTGCATAATCTTCACAAAAGCGGGCCCGAGGTCTGTGATGAGCTCCTTTCCGAGTGCTGGGCTTGGGCATGGCCGGGTCCAGGTTACATCCGGGTTCATATCGTAGGTTGGGCTTAGGGCTTAAGGTTTGGGGATTGGGGTTTAGGGTTGAGGGTTTAGGGTTTGGGGTTTGGGTTAGGTTTGGGGCGTGGCGTCATGGGATTTGTGGGAAAGAACCCTTCGCATCCCAAACCCTGAAGCAATGAAGGCAAGGAAACCCTTGGCCGCCAGACAGAGGGTTTAAGGTTTAGGGTGTAGGAGTGGTTTTTGGGTTTGTGCCTTTGATTTGAAGTTTATGTTTCGGGGTTTGGAGTTTTTGGGATGAGGGTTTAGGGCCATTGGGCTTTGACCCCTGACCCACTTGCTCAACCGCCTCAACTTCCCGGCAGCAAACGTCGGACTTGACCGTAGGAGCTCTTAGGATTTGCAGGCCTTTGACGTGCAAGATGCCACATACACACACACACACAGGCAGGGATGCGCAGAATACAATGGCAAGTCACTTTAACGGCAACAACCAGCAACAAGAGATGCCACACATGAAGCTCCCCAGCCCAGCTTCAGGTCAAGAAGTTGGAGATGGGCATCACTTCTGAGCCTACTGATCCCAATTCAACCGTCAGCCCAAGCCTTGCCTACATCACATCAACGCCTGAAACTCCTAGATGACTGTACCCGAAGTCCATATGCAACACCACCAAAACCTGTAGCCAGATGTGCAAGATAAGCTTGATGGGAAACCCAGCGCAAACCCGTGCGAATCCAAGCTCGCGTTACCAGCAAAGTTCTACAACCCTCGCTTTACATGTGCATGACGAACCACTCTGTTCTATTCTTCCCCGAACCCTAAGCCCTTTTATTGTTCACCTGACACAAACCCTAAATGCCCAAAACCCCAAAGCCCAAAAACCGTAAACCCTATACCCTAAACTCAAACCTTGATAGTAAGGACCTGACACCCGCAAACCCTGAACCCTAAATCCTAAACCTTAAACCCTAAAATACCCAAACGACACTTAACCTAGAAGACCCATAGTAATGACCTGACACCATCAGAAATCCTAGCGTGGCCTTGGCCTCACGAGCCCTCTGGGGCGCCACGGCCTCCTCCCGGGAGCTGTCGTAATATAGGGGCCTATATAATTACCTGTACCATTTTTTTTTTTGGGGGGGGGGTCCTTATCAAAACTATAGTATCACATATTGTGAAGGTTCATGATTATATACTTTGAGGGTTCCTTATCAAAACTATAGTATCATATACCCCGAAACCCTGTTCTAACTACTAAGGCCCCTGTGTTAGTGCTTGGGCTTCTGAGGCTTATGCTTCAAGGGGGCCTCAGGAAGTGAGGTTAGAGTCAAAAGGTTAGAGGTTAGTGTTAAAGGCTTTTTCCGGCTTAAGGTTCTGAAGAAAGTTTAAGGTTTAGGGCTTAATGCTCAAGATTTAGGGTTTAGGGTCTAGGTTTCGGGGCTAGGCTTCAGCGCTTCGGTTTCAGGAGTGGTTCTGCATCAGGGTTTAAGGTTTAGGTTTCAAGACCCTACACCCAAAACGGTTTTGGGGTTTGGGTGGATAGTTCTGAGGTGTGTTTCAGTGCCGGAGAACTTCTTGGTCCTTCGGCCGCCATGCAGTGCTTTTGCTTGCTTGTAAAGATCTTCATAGGGTTCAGGGTTTGGGGTTTACGGTGTAGGGTTTAGGGGGTTTCAAACCGTGTCAAAGCCTTGCAGCAAGACCTAAGAGGCACCTCCCGATTCAGAAGCTTGTCGAGCTCGATGTTCCTTAGCAGCTGTTGAGCTGCTTCTGCGTTCGTTTAGGGATTTAATTCGTGTTGCCATAAGAGGATCTATAGATGCTTTCCTTATTATGGTACCTGAAACTGCCTTAAACTATATTCCTTAATAAGAACTCAGGCTTTGGGGCAGGGTTTAGGGCCTAGGGTTGAGGCGGGCGTCGGACTTTCTGAACAATCCTTACTTCGTGGCTATGCTCATTCAGTGAAGCTTTCTTGTTGAGTGCGTGGGCGTGTGGAGGTTCGATATAATGAAGTAGGTTAAGTAGATATGTTGATAGACAGGCCGACGGACGGACAGACGACGGACAGACAGGAGGACCTAGAGACTGACAGACATGCGGATCGACAGAAGCTAAAGAGAAACCTCCAGACGGGTGTTGAAGAGTCGATGTTTTGCTGCATGCTTTGGTAACTGCCACAGCTTGCAAAACAAAGTCCCAGGCGATTCCTGCCGAGCGCATTCAACCCTTAACCCCAAACCTCTGAACACTCCAGCACACTTAAAGCTCTCCGGAGAAGGCTAGAGTCAGGCTGAAACCACCAAAGCGGATGGCAACTTCAATGAAGCCTCAGCTTGCAAAAGCGGTGTAGGGCTCAGGGATTAGAGTGGTTTCATCAATTTTGGGGGTAGGGTTGCGAATCTATGGTGTAGACAGCTTTCAGAGTTCAATTTTGAGGAGGACTCTCAGCTCCAAATCGTTCAAAGCTTCCTGAAAGGAAAGCAAGATGAAGAACGTGTCCAAGAGCCAGAGGGTTCGTAAACCCAAGCTGCGAACCCTAGACCGTGCGCAAACCCAGAAGCCGAAATCCTAAACCCCGAAACCCTCATCAGTTCCTGAAGTCCCGCCGGGAAGCACAGCATCGGGACATCGGCAAGTCTCTTTCTGAATCTTGTAATCTTGGGGTATATATTCCGAACAGGGTGTTAGGGGGGATGTTGTAATATGATGAATTAAGGGACCATGGTGCCATGAAGAACATCTTGTTCACGTGAATTGAATTTCGGCATGTTGGGGGCTTCTCAATATTCGGTCCACCTTACTGGCGGCAGGGTCGGCATAAGGAGTTTTGCGCCCAACACCAAAACGATCCGGGCACCCTGAATTCCTCCCCAGCAGCCTACCTGTATGGAACCACAGACACATGCGCTTATCCGGAACCCAGGGGCGCGTCGTCAAACGCCATGGGCGACGCTGCCAGTAAGCCTGCCGCCGAGGCTTTGAGACCGGGGAGGATCGGCGTTCAAGCACGGTTTACGGTTTGGGGAGCTAAGCCCCGAAGATCTTTCAGGTGCTGGGTGACAATCGGGTTGTGTGATCTACTTGGCAGATCCCGTACGAAACTCCTATGTCCTCCACCCAAGCCCTCTGCATCATCTTGAGCGTGGAAGCCCAACAGTCTATTCTGCAGATCAGGGCCTACTTGTGCCCAACCCCCGAGCCCCTAAAGGCTCCATGAAAAGCTTCAATAGCGCAGCCCCCAGCCTCAAACCCATGACATCCTTAAAACTCGACATCCCAAAAAAACTCCTAACACCACACAGCACTTTCAGCCAAACCCTCGGAAGCCATGCTTCACAGACGGAATCAAGAGCTTCGGCGGCATGGGGCTTTATCCTTCTTTGTGCTGAGGGTGTGGGATGGTTTAGGGCTTTCAGGGTTGAGTTTTTTTTTGTGTGCCTTTCTTTTTCAGTCGGCAGTGTTTCTGTGGATTCGGAGTTCCAAGCTGCCCGAATGAGGGGCTGGCAGGAGGCTGCTTTGTTAATTTATGGAGGGTTGGGAGTTCAGGGTTTCGGGCTTGGGCTTCGTTGGAGGACTCGCAGAGCTTTGGGAAGGCCGCAGCTGTCAACATTGCACTTGGAAAGTCACAGACAGAGGGGCGCAAGCGACTTGGCCTGAGAAGCTTGAGAAAGATGACAGGGTTTAGGGTTTAGGCGGTAGGGTCGTGATGAGAAATCTGAGTACTTAGTATAGTGATTCCAAATTTTACTTGTACTATATGTAATACCCCATACCCGATCCTTGTTTATATTGCCTGTAGTATAGCCTAGCCCTAAAATCCCCATTAAGGTAGGGACATCCCTGTCCTTTTGGGGTCCCTAAATAGCAAACTCTAAACCCTTATAACGTATCATGCGGCATAAAACCCTAAACCCTAAACCCTAAACCCACTTTTGGGTCCCGAATAGCAGGGCTTCGCTTCGACGGCAATCCTCGATCCAGGCGCCATCGTAGCGCAGAGGCAGCTCCTGGAATTTCTGGCAGTATACTTAAAGGATCATGAGACTTAGTAACTAGGGTTATACTTAGGGTAACTATACTTATAACCCCAATTAAGGTACTTATAACCCCACTTACTAAGTCCCATGATCCTCCAAGTAGGGTTTGGGGTTTGGGGTTTGGGGCTTAGGGTAGGCCCCTACTTTGGAGACCCGAATCATGTTAACCGGGCTTGCTTTACAGAGTACTATAAGGGCTTGTCTGCGGACTTCTGGTAGTATAGGGACCTAACTATAGCCCAACCGGGCTTGTTCTAAAGAGTACTATAAGGGCTTGTATTAGACTTTGCTTGTCTGCGGACTTCTGGTAGTATAGGGACCTAACTATAGCCCAACCGGGCTTGTTCTAAAGAGTACTATAAGGGCTTGTATTAGACTTTGAGGGCTTTGGGGTCCCTGATAATTAGAAAGGCTTCGGGGGTCGTCCGTTGTAGTGCAGTTATACGAGGACTAGACGGGGATACTTTTCAATGCTTCTTGCGACCCCTGTATTTCTGAGCGACGTTTCCGCTTCGGGGTTGGTCCAAGCCCCTTTTCGTGGCAGGGTTCTTGCTTAAGTGCGCCTCTGTAACTTTGGGAAGCTCTAGAATGTGGAGGGCCTTTATCTTTTGCTGCAGGGCTTGAAGAGTCCTGTTGCGAGAAATTTGCAAAACCTGAACCCGAAACCGGATTCCTAGACTTCGGGGAGCTGGCTGCCCTTCAAATCTTGCTCGTAAACAAGATAATCTTCTTTTAAGCAATAAGCAAAAAAACGTGTCCCAGTGGCTTACCTAGCGACTATTCAAGAATACCTCAGTTTTGGAGAGAGGCTTTGCCACGCGGCGCAAATGGGTTGAAACTTAGGGTTTAGGACCTAGCGTTTGCAGGGACTTTGAAAAGGGACCTCGCAAACTTTCAGTGTCACTGGAACGCTTGGTGCTCCGTGTCACTTCGAGATTTTGAGTCACATGGGCTTACACGAACTGCTCCAGGGTAGCTTGCCGTGACTTTTGCTCTAGTGGATGTTCGCAGCTTCGATTGGGGTTAAGGGAGTAACCCAGAGGGTCCATATACACTACTACTATGGAATCAGGTCCCAAAAGACCATCCTTATTATGGCTTTAGGGACCTGATTCCATAATTGTAGTGTATATGGACCCTCTTGGTAATAGGCGGGTCTGACCAGCTTGCCCTGGCATCCACTCGTGTCCCCATCTATGCATTCTATGAACTGAAACTCTAACCCTCAAACTGCCCTTGAAAACCCCGAGACAAACCCGAAAAATGGAAACCCCTAAACCCCTAAACCCGCAAACCCCCGCGACAGGCTTCTTGTCCAGGAAATCGCTGCCCGGTAAACCCTGAACCCTGAACCCTAAACCCCTAAACCCCTCAACCTGAACCCTCAACCCTGAACCCGAAACCCCAAACCCCTGCCCCCTGCCCCCTAAAATCCGATCCTCCAGCCAGGGCTGGGGTCCACGCCTCGGACAGGAACTCTTCGGCTGGAGGTGAGCGGACGCAGGGTTCCATCTATCCTTAAAGGGTTCCTAAGGGATCTATAGGGGTTCCTTAAAAGGGATCTATAGGGGTTCCTTAAAAGGGATCTATAGGGGTTCCTAAAACTTAGGGTTTGGAGTTGAGGGTTTAGGGCTTAGGGTTTGGGGTTTGGGGTTTAAGGTTTAAGCCTTCATGGGGCCCTAAAGAATGTAACGAAGGGCTTCTTTAGGGTTCCTTCAGGGTTCTACAGAAACAGATCTATCATGAGGGTTTACATCGGGTTTGGGTATAGCATAAGCGCCTTTACAACTAAAACAAGGCTTTGGGCTATACGATGCAGCTGCTTATAAGTATACGATGCAACCCTAAGGAATGATGTTAGCAATTGCTCCAACACAATCGAGCACCTGGACCCTAAACTATTGCAGGCCCTGGCTGACTCCCAAACCTACCTTGAGAGGCCAATATCTCCAAAACCAACATTTTACGGAATATTGCTAAGTGCAAGGATACTCAACAACCCTAAAACCTGCACCCCAAAGTCTAAAGTCCTGAATCCCTACATCCCTAAAACCCTGAAACGTTACAAACCCTCAAGCCTCACTTTGACAAATCCTGAACTCTCCTGTAAGGAGTTTAACTTAAGTTACCATAACAGGGATCTACATTGTTGATTACTGTGGTTTCCCTAAACCCTAAACCCTAAACCCTCAATCCTAAACCCTAAGCCCAAAACACTAAACCCTCAATCCTAAACCCTAAGCCCAAAACACTAAACCCGAAACCCTAAACCCTAAATCCTAAACCACGCCAGTGCCTCAGCGCGAGCAGCGCGACGACAGCAGCCCCTGCGGCTGCCGGCATCAGCGCTGGAGCAGCGGCCCCAATCCTGGCAAAAGCTGTCGGTTTAGGGTTTAAGCTTTAGGGTTTAGGGTTTAGGGCTCATGGTTTGGGGTTTAGGGTTTAGGGTTCTGGGTTTGGGGTTCCGGGTTTGGGGTTCAGGGTTGAGGGTTTAGGGTTGAGGGTTTAGGGTCCTTGACATTTCGAACAGGTTTGGGGATATCTTCCCGCATAAATGCGCAGGGATTATGGGTCGGGAGGTTTAGGCTATTGTGGATTGTGGCTTCGGGCTTCAGGGTTTGAGGTTTACACAGGATGGTTAAGGAGGCTGACCATCGAAAAAGCTGGGCCCCCTCACCGGCCCTCACCAATAAGTTCCGAAGCCTCAACCTAGACCCAAGAGTAGCCTAGGAATTAAATAGGATGCCCCTTTCAGAAGGGAACCCGAACCCTAGAAAGAGTGAATAAGGGCCTAATTACTCTGGGTCCTAGCAACCAAGTCTCAAACTCTGGCCCCAAACCCCAAAAAACCCTAAAGTGTAGCTCTAAAGTGTAGGGTTTAGGGTTGAGGGTCCGATCAAACCCTAAAAGCACTCACTTAAAGTGTAGCAAGGAGCGGCAGGTGGTGCAGGAAATCCACCACCTCCTTCGGAAGTTGCTCCACCTGCTGGCCAGATAATGTAGGGTCCTTAATAATCAAAATTGGGTTTTGAGGCCAATCATACTATCCTTATAATCATGAACAACCAAAATAGGAAAAGGTATTTTTTCAGGCCCCTATATTTCCCAAATAGGGTTTCGGGGTGTACCGTGGTACAGTTCCAGAGGGATTCCATGCCTCTATATGAATAGCTCCCAAATTAGGATCCCTTTTATTGTCCGTTTTATAAAGGGGCCTTAATTTAGAGAACTACCCATGTGCCACTACATTATGTGAGCCCCAAGCTCAGCATTACAACGCTGAAGGCTTAGGGAAAGGACTAAAAGTGTTAGTCTGACCTACTTCTTGACACCCCCCACCCTACACCCGAAGTTTGACTGCCGGGACAAGGGAGGCTCTGTAAGGTAGGATCCCACTTTCGGATTTGCCCCGCCCCCACCTCCAAAAAAGCTGGCTTCAAGAGAGCAGAGGGGCTTGAGCCTGAACGTTAAGCCATATTGAAACCTGACACATTCAGCTCAAGGCACAAATGCCCCAAAAAAATCGAGCCGAAACCCTAAACCCTTGCCTTCACATTCGGCAGCTTCAGCTGCTGCAAACCCTGGATGTTCGGCAGTTTCAGCTGTGGCAGGCCGTTGACATTCGGCAGGTTCAGCTGCGGCAGTGACTCGATTGGGCTGGGTTCCGGCCTGGGCGAAGGTCCTTGACTAAGGGATATTGGAGTCTCTGGGTACAACACAAGCTGAATCCTGCTGCTTTTAAACTGGATTCAGGGTTTCAGGTTCAGGGGCTGTGAGGTTTAGGGTTAGACTTTAGGGGTTTAGGGTGTCGTTAACAGGAGTCAGGGTTCCGGCTTCAGGGATTATGGAAAGTTTAGGGGTTAGGGGTTGAGGGTTTAGGGTTTAAGGTTTTGGGTTCGGGGTTTCCGGTCGCTTCAGGAGATGGTTCATCTGGTTTCTGATTGCCGTGGCTTTCAGGTTGATGTAGGGTTCAGGGTTTAGGGTTCTGGTTTAGGGTTTAGGGTTTAAGGTTTAGGGTTCGGGTTCCTGCATTGTGAAGGGATGTCTGGAGTAGCTTTAGGAGAGTCGGAACCCCTTGACTCTACAAGACTCAACCTTCCCAAATCAGCGAACACCGCACACATGCACCGGAAAATAAACACCCGATAGATCCAACAAATCCAAGCACTAGTCACTAGGCGAAATGGGGTTTAGGTTTTCTACGTCCAAATCCCTCCGTACAGCTCCAGCCTCAAACCGCGTTGGCTCAATAGCCGCTCAGCTAGGCGTGTGAGCCCACGTCGCGCTACTGCAACAGCCAGAGTTTAGGGTTAGGGATTGTTTGTGAGGTCAGACCCTAGCAGTTCTTGTAGTCAGAAATCTAAGGGCTGGAACGATTCATGGATTGAGCCGTCTACCGATGTTGTGTTAGGGTCGAGGGTTTCGAAGCTCTCCGAACTTAGATGTCGAATCCGGAACGACCAAACATACGACTCTTTGTCTCAGCTCATCGATGATTTCGATGACTGCCAGTATTCCTGTCCGAGTTTTAGTTTGTGCGTTCCCACTTTCTGTCGGTCCTTCTCGTTGGGCCTCGGCTTGACCTCAAACATGTCAGTCCCAGAAAAAACAACCTTACTATAGGGGCCTTCATAATTACCCTATACTATTTTGGTGGTTCCTTTTAGGGTTCTTTGTAAAGGAGTCTATAAGGATTACAATATTGCATGGAGATGTAGGATTGGACACCCGGAACGCTAGCACTGCACCCTCAAACCTAAACCCTGAAAGTCTCAAACTCTCAATTCCGCAAGCCCGATACCGATAAGCCGTACACATACCGTCAAAGCAGTCTTATAAATCTCTGCGTACAAGCACGCTCAATGATCAAATCCTACAAAACCTTCCAGCCACATGTTTCGGGAGCCCTACAACACTTCCTATAAAACCGTCATAAAAACCTACAGAACCCAAAAAGTAGCTCTTAACAGAACCCCGAAAGAGCCCTAAACCCTATATAAACCCTAAAACCCTAAACCCTAAACCTTAACCGCCTCTTCTCTTTCGCAGCTTTGTGGCACCGACCACAGCGGCCAGCGTGGAGCAAGGCAACACCAAGGAGTGCCGCCTCCGGGGTTTACTTGGAGGATCCCACATGGGGACCCTCATAATTGGAGTATACGGTTCCTAGGGCTCCTTAAAGGGCTCCTTTAAAGGGATCTAAAGGGTTCTATAAGAGGGGTCTTAGGTTTACTTGGAGGATCATGAGACTTAGTAACTTGGGTTATAATTAGGGTAACTATACATATAACCCCAATTAAGGTACTTATAACCTTACTTACTAAGTCCCATGATCCTTTAAGTAGGGTCATGCTCTGTACTTGGAGGATCATGGGACTTAGGGTTTAGCGCTTAGTAACTAGAGTTATGAATGATGTATAGCTATAGCTATAGTTACTTCTAGCCCGATCAGGATACTTATGACCTTACTTACGAAGTCCCATTATCCACCAAGTCGGGATTTGGCGGTTTTCAGCTTGAACTCTTCAAAGAAGTCAAGATAAAGCAAGGGACATCTTAAGATCCTGAGCCGTAAACCCCTAAACCCCTTACGCTCTCCACCCAAAAGCCCTACAGCATGAACCAAACCTTCAAAAACCCTAAACCCGAAAGCCTGAACCCTAACCCTGACCCCTAAACCCTAAACCCTAAACCCTAAACCCTTGACCCTGAACCCTAGACACTAGACCCCAGAAACCCGAAAATGCCCAGTCATGATACCATCCTGCACTACAGAACCCAATTCTAGAACCCATATAGTATCCCTTTTAAGGAACCCCTTAAAGGAACCTTTTAGGGGATTCAGGCCCCTATAGTGATCCGCCTCGGGCTGGGTGCCCGGTTTGTTTTGCCGGCCACTGCTGGGCGCACGAGGCCCATGCATGGCGCCTGGCGCTCGTTGGCCATTCGGACGTCGAGTTCGAGGGCTCTTGGGCTTGGGGATTAGAGTTTAGGGTTTAGGGTTTAGGGCCGTTTAGGGGTTTAGGGGTTTAGGGTTTAGGGTTTAGGGGTTTAGGGTTTAGGGTTTAGGGGTTTAGGGGTTTAGGGTTTAGGGTTTAGGGTTGGGGGCTTGGGCCTTCGAGTTTATGCAGGCAGTCCTAGGATAATCCAGAAGCGAATCACTTGTGGATCAACTACATAAGATATGACGGCTCAAAGGATCTCAAGAGATGGGCCTGCGAGTTTAAGGTTTAGGGTTTGGGGTTTAGAGCTTGCTTGAAGGCTGAGGGTTTGGGGATTCATGGGTAGCTCTATGTACGGCGATAACTACCTGTTTTGGGAACTGCGCTCTTTACAGCCCTCCTTATAGCTGTCAAGGAATGCTTAAATGAGGGTGAGATTAGGAATGACTGTCCGGGATAGGTTCGAGTGTAGACGGCTAGTGCAGATAAACTAAAACTGCAACCGTGTCTGAACAATGTAGATGGGGTCGTGGGGTATGTTGAAGTGCGATTATATGGGGTCAGACCAAACCTCTGTACTACAGAGCAGAAGGTGCACAACAAGCCACGACAGACCATTGTCTGCCCTGAAGCTTGCACCTCGCCTTCGGGCCAATCGAAAACTCTATAATCAAAAATGTAAAGGGTTTGATAATCGGAACAAGGTTCTGGGATATGCTGTGATATGCTATAATCAGAACTTACTTGAACCAGACTGAAGGCAACTTATCACAGTCAGCTCGAAGGCCTTGAAAGAGCCGAGCGGGTGCAGCTCCATAGCAGCCATGATCAGCGGTTGTGGCAGATGCTATATTGGTCACCGGAAATCTTTATGTACCCTCCAGCATGAGGCTATGAAAGCTCCATCGGGTGCTCGAGGAAGCTGCGAGTTCACTGTTGCCATCGTTGCCATGCTTGTGTCTGACGCCGCTCTGGCGAGCTACGCTCTAGCCAGAACGACATTGAAGAGTTTGGATCATCACGGAACTTCAGCATGAAGCTGTATTTTAAGACGCAGCCAATGCTCGAGTGATCGGACCCACTTTTTGAAGCGGTTCGGGCGGTGGGCAAGTCTTGCACCACAACGGGTCTTAGCCGATGCCATCTCTTAAAGAAGGCAAACGACCTTTCTGTCCAAAGGAGAAGGTCGCAGGGCCGCACGGCCTCACCGACTGCCGTCGTACAAACAAACGACGAGCTCAGGAAGCGTTTAGAGTGCGGTGACGTAGGGTACATCTCTGATGGTGAGGCCTTGCAGCAAGGAGCTGTTCGACTGCAGTGCTGGACATCGTTTAAACAAGTTCAAAGTGTCTGAGTACAGCGACTCTGCTCCAGAATACAAAAACAGTTTCAGCTGTCTGAAGATTCTTCAAACTCGAAGCCGGCGTCTCTCTTCGGAGATTCACCGAGATTCCCTGCCTCGCAACTTTCTACAAGGCACCGAAAGAAAAGTGTCCCTAGTACCCGGGGATGCACGGGATTTTCGCACATTTCGTTTCGGAAGCCTGTGGGTTCCTGGACTTGTCGTAGGGTTCGAAGGAGCTGGCATCGTCACAGGAACTGAGAAGGGGGGTGAGCTTCGACTTCGGGCGGAAGTAGGAGTAGCAAGCCTTGATGGCAAAGAAGACATTGGCAGTCGCGAACCCGAAGTAGATGATCACGGCCACCACGAGCTCCGTATTGTGGAGGTGATGCGTTGCCAAGCAATTCTCCGCCACAATGAGCCCGAGGAAGAACCAGCAAACGAGCACGTACCAGTCAAGCCCCGTGTTGTATCCGATCTTCGGGACCATCTGAGCGATGATGAACTTGAAAGCCACGGCCGTCAGGATAAGCATCACTGAAGTCGACAAACGATCCCCAATGAGATCGCTCGGAATGGCCATGGAGGCGGCACTTAGGCACACCAACGCGAACATTGGGAGCAAGATGTTGCACATGTAGAAGGAGGGGATGCGCTGCAGCTGCACGGTGGCCTTGAGAAGTGGGAACTTCTTGTTGACTTTGTGCGTCTCTTCGTTGGTGAACTCCGTGTGGATGTACAGCCGGTTTTGAAAGGGCCGCGTCCATGTATTTCCCAAGTGGAAATTGTTCAGGATCACCTCGTGCACTGGAAATGTACAGATGCACACACAAATGGATGCATCCACCCCATCCATCCATCCATCCATCCATGCATACATTGTTACATACATACTTACTGACTTACAGACTTACATACTTAAGACAGACAGGCCGACAGATGTGCGTACAGTCAGACCGACACACAGACCGCTGAGAGACAGACAGACATGCATGCACACAGACCTGCAGGCATACACACCCACAAACACATACGTAGTGCATACATGCATACCGCAAACACTTGCAGATGTATTTGAACTCGAAGAATGCTTGTGAGAGTTCCTAATATAATACCAGTAGAACATCTACATCTCGGGGATTTGGTCTGAGCCTGTCGGGCTTTGGGGTCTGGCGGAGGTCTCAGGTGCGACTCCCCCACTTCTGGGCCCTGGAAGATGATACAAGCAAGATCATCTGGGACCATTTGGGCTCAGGGTTTAGATTTAGTTTGGGGTGTAGGGTTTGGGATACCCAAAACTTGACACCAGAAATCGAAGATGGCTGTATCTAGGGCCAGAGTTTCAACTCTCGAAGAATTGGCCTGCAACCCCCAAAGCCTAGACCTCAACATCATTTACACCCCTGAATCACCCCATATCACCCCCCAAACCACGGCACCCTTCATCCCCGAAACCCAAGCCGAAACTCCAACACATACATATCCAAACCACCCGATTTAGGGTTCAGGGTTCAGGGAGTTGCTAAACCCTCAACCCTAAAGCCTAAAAGAAAAAGGCCCTGACCCCCTAATTCTCAGTACAATCACCGAGGAGTTCTTCGAGTCAATGAAGCGGAACTGCAACTTGTCCTCCCTGCAGGCGTTCCAGAAGCAAAGCCTGCGGTTGGAGGTCGAGGGTTCACGGTGTTAGGGTTTAGGGTTTAGGGTTTTGGGTTTAGGGTTTAGGGTTTAGGGTTTAGGGTTTAGGGTTTAGGGTTTAGGGTTTACGGTGTAGGGTCTACCTGATCAAGAACCTAGATGTTTAGGGTTCGTTATTACGTGTCACATTATGATTTCCTGATATGAGTCCTGCTGCAGGTGGAATTTGGAGTTCGGGGGGCCGGGCAGACGGATTGCCATGTCGGGTCAGGGCTTTGAATTAGTAGTTTAGAGCTTTAGGGTTCAGGAGATTGGGTTTAGGGTTTAGGATTTCGCATGTAAGGGTGCCTCCGGCATCCTCCGACAAAGCTCCCTACCACGTAGGTCCATACTGATAGTCGTGTAACTTTGCCAACATCACCACGAACCGAAACTCGATGTACCAGTATTATTGTCACTGCAGCAGGTACAACCGGTGCAACACGTAAACTGCCATGCTGGTCACAGGAAATTGCCGCCTCTAGTTTGGTCGCCTTTGCCCAGCATTGATGCACACGCGCACACACACGGATACTGTTCCTGTGCGACAGTGTTACTCATAGTAAACCAGTTCGAGTGCTGCCTGTGGTTTGAACTGCAGTTGATGCGGTTGCCTCGCTCTTCTCATACACCTGCCACCACAATGCACTAGATCAGCCAGATCAGCCATACTGCCAGATGAAACCAACTCTGGACAAAATGACGACTACAATACAACAAGCATCGAGAGTGCCAACAAGAAGAACAACAGAACAAAGATGCACAATAAGAGGCGTAAATAGCGATGAATCCAGGAGCCACTAGGCAGCTAGCAAACTAAAAAAGCAAGAGGCAGGTCGACATCCAAAACAAAGACCATTGAGGCAAGCATATGCTCACCGATGCCGAGACAAATCAAACTAGCCGTAACCCTAAACCCTCGCCCAAGGAATGATTGCTACACCAAGGAGCGTCAGAGTGAGATCTTGGCAATCGAAAGGAAACCTCTGATGCTCCAAACACTCCTGGGAGTAGTGCGGGGTTAAGGGCTTCGGGTTTAGGGTTTGGGCTGTATGGGGGAGCCAGGGGCTCGAAGTCTCCCTTTCTTGGCTTTGGGATCGGGTTTAAGGTCTGAGGTTTCAAAGGTTGAAGGCTTTAGGGTTGAAGGCTTTTGGCCATTGACGCTTACTAGGGTTCAATAGGGCTTAGGAGTGTATGGCGTCAGGGTGTAAGGGCTCAATGTTTAAGGGTGCAGCGATTCTAATTCTAATCGGTTTAACGGTTTAAGGGTTTGATGGTTGAAGGATTCCAGCCTTGCGGGCTTAATCCGGACTGTTGTTGATGAACTTGATTTAAGTTACCATAATAGGGATCGATGGCGAATAATGAGTTTCCCTATTGTGGGAATTTGTGCTACATTCAAAAACCCAGCTAAGGCGTTTCAAAGTTTTTGTTTGGCTTCAAGGGCATAAAAAGCTTAGTGTCTTTTCTGGTTTACGGATTAGGGTTTAGGGGTGTTGCTTGGACGTTTGAAGATTTCGGGCTTGAAGCTTAGGAGCTTAGGGCTTCATGGACGGTACGGCGTGTAGTGCAAGCAGCCAACTGCGCGAATCATGGATGCATGGAAGCCATGGTACGCGGTATAAGGGTCTTCCCGAGGGTACAAGCGGTTTCCTGTACAACCGATGGATGCTTCAAGGTACCTGATTGTAGCGTAGAAGCCCGTGTCGAAGGATGGATGTGGGACTCTCAGAAAACTATGCAGCCCAAGTATGGATCCTAACCTAATGGGTGCCGTGAAAGTATCCTTTAAAGGAACCCTTGCCAAGAAAACCTGTAAACAATAAATCCCTTAAAGAACCCTTAAAATAAAATTGAAGGGCTGTAATCTCTCTATCCAGCGGCATGAAATGCTGAGCTACCTGTGGAAAAGAAGGGGGTGGAGATGAAAAGAAGCCAAACCGTAACCCCACAGAGAACCGACAGCAAGTTCGCCCGTGCTTCAATCGCTGCACCGGCACCCCCCGAAACCGAAAAGAAAACAACAACTCATTTTCAGCTCTACCCTAAACCCTAACCCCCGAACCCCAAAACCCCGAACCATGAACCCTAGGCCCCCGAAATCGTGAACCCTAGGCCCCCGAAATCGTGAACCCTAGGCCCCCGAACCCCAAACCCCTAAACCCGCTCTTGCAACCTAAAACAGGAGCACTAAATCGGGAAAAAAGGTGAGCCTCAACCCTAGAGACCTTTAACCCGAATTGCCATTAACGGCCTACTGCCTAGTTCTGACACCCGAAACCGCATGCTTGCATCCCTCGAGTACCGATCCCCGAAACCCTGAAGCCAGGGTCTGTACTTGGGTCTCTTGGTTTCTTGAAAGTGCACGCATTGAGCGGAGGCTCTGAAAACTCACCCGCGATCTTCCAAGTAAGGCTCATCTTGTGGGTGGCACCTGGTTCGGGGTTTAGGGTTCCTGGAGCTTTGGCTTGGTAGGGCTTTAGGATTCTGAACTGAAGGTTGAAGGTTTGGGATATTGGGGCTCGCGGATTAGCACCCGAGGTCTGGAATTTAGAGCTTGGGCTTCAGGGCGTTAGTGCTTGTGGGCGGTGCAATCTAGATGGTCATGTCTTGGTACTACTCCTTCACGATACCATGGTGGCTATTGGAGCTCTGTTGTCATTGATGTCACGATGATCAGGAATCTAGAATATGATTCTTTTTGATACCACGACTGGCATGTGTCTTGCATGCAATTCAGATGTCCAGACAGCATAAGTTACTTCTGGTTGTGGTCGGCTTGCGCACGACGGCGAATGCGCTTCTCG